TGCCCTGACCACGCCGAACAATCCCGCTATCCTTCCTACTCCCGCCCGACATCTCCATCAGTTTCCAATTCCCATCCACTGCACTATTCCTGCTAGTCTCGGAGGCCCGACCGTTGCGAGTCTTGGTGTCGCGGCTCGAGCGCGTCGACTTAAAGGTTTACCCGTCGGCTCTGTATCGTATGTCTCAATCTCCGGATGATGAGGTTTCATCTTCAAAGTCAAGCCCCCAGAATAAAGCCGCCACCGAAAGATCCCGATTGGATTGTCGTAAGATTGCAAAACTTCGAAGATGTCGAAGGGCGGGCTTTGCTCGAAGGCGTGTTCGTGTCGAGGTATCGCAGTCGTCCCCGAAGGCGGAAGCTTCGAGTGCTTTGAATGGTGAGTACGACTCGAGGCACACCCATGCGCTACGTGGGCCTATCAATGCTCTCAAACTGCTATCAGATATAGTGGCTCAGTTTACAAGTCTAGTATCAGTAGGACTATAGTGTGTATAAGTCCTAGTACCAGTTAACAGTTGAACTCCTGATCCTCAGTCATTAGGTCCCTTAACACAAAATGCTGGAGAGTGACCTTCAAGAAGCATAGCTATGTTGTGGGCCAAATCTGGGAATTGCATCCCCTCCAACTCAACGATGCTGACATGTTGCACAGCAATAACATTGTTGAAGTTTCCTCATCTTGATCAGCACACGTCTACACCACCTCTGCTGGCATGCTCAGAGCTTGGACAAATACTCAAACATGCTTCCTATGATTTCCAAATCACTCTCATCCATGCACATTGAGATGGAGGATCCTATCTCTGCTAAATGTGAGTCGCCGAGGCCATTTGTGGATGCAGTGTGAGGCCGGCTGATATCTTCTACTCCATTCCCCAGACTTTCCAACTGATCTCACGCCAGCTGTCAGCCTACGTGTTCTGTCGCTCACCGTCGGGTTTGCAACCTTGGTAGAAGCAACAAAGATATTGTCTCGCACGTCTCTCCTGGAGCTCATCGAGGTCAGGATCACGTTAGCGCTTTCACCAACCGAGGATGAGCTTGATCGCATGGACAAGGACTGCTATCCACCGATTGACCAGGCTCTGTCCAGTCGTCAATATCCCGCCCTACAAAAGATTGCTTTTGATCTCATCTATTACGTTCGGCGCAGCGAAGTAATGGATGTCATATCCGAGGGCTCCTGGAGGAGTCAACTTTCTTCAAGGTTTCCCGCATTGCATGCTAGAGAGCAGCTTGTGTGAGTCAATTACCATGTACACCCCGCATTGGCGCGGACTTCCGCCACTACTCACTCATGTCCCCAGGTCATCTGTCTCTGTAAACGTGGTTGATGAGTGGGAATAATGCTCGCAATTTCGTTCCGGCTTTGATTTCACAATCACCGCGGGAACTTGCTTCTCTTTTCTCCGGTAGTGGTGTCATTTCGTACTTGTTCACTGTAGCACTGTCAGTGCTACCTCCTGCATGCTCTCGCGTATGCATCTCTCACCTATCTCGCCCATAACAACCGCTCATATTCCTAAACCATCCCCAGCTGGCAGCATCTGTGCTCCACTCGACGCGCGTACAAAACCAGCTCAGAGTGGGAAGGCTACATGATCCAGACCGCACGTCTTGTGCACAGTGAAGACAGAAGATCTGCCACTAAGCAGCTGGCACGCGCCCTTGCACGAGGAGTCCTGAGATGCATCAGACAGATTCCGGTGAATGGCTCGTTGAAGGCATACCCTGAATTCTAGATGATCTACAGGACAGCTCTGTTCTACATCATCTAAGAGGAAGTAACATCGAAGCTCTCATGCGGGATCGCCTGAAGCCGTACAGACCGTCATTCCTCGCCGATTACACTCTGTGGACTCTATTTCCAAGATTTGGGATGTGTCTGCCACAGTAACGACACCGTCCACGAGAGCACGCCGTGTTAAAGCCTACGCATAATGTATGACATACACTCACAGAAGGCGTAATGCGAGAGCCGGGGAAGGTGCGGGGTGTGTCGGGGGTGGCATGCCCGATGCCAATTTTGCACCTTGGAGAAGCTGGATGCGGCGGGCCGAGACATGGACGAAAAGGAGGTGTATCGCCTGATTAGAACATTAGGCAAGGACGCTGAGCGATGCCGTGCCGTCAAGACGGTCTCACTCATGTTGGACGACAGGTCGGTCCGGCTTGCTTGGGTCGTTTGCTGTGCGCATGGCACAGAGACCGCTCCGGGTCCAACTTCTCCAGCTCCATGTTGTCGACTGGCGAGCTGCGCAGCTGCGCCTGCAGGTCTTTTCTCCTCCTCGTGTTCAGATCGATCACAGAGCTCGAGCTTTCTGGGGCAATTTCATGATCATTCTCGAAGACTTGCTGCTTTATACGTCGTCGCGGCATCACTTCATACTCATCCATGTAGCACTGCGAGTCCAAAGGCACACTTACGCATGGATTTCCCTTACCTGTCATGCTTCCCGTCTCTGTAGTCGAAGCCAGCACCGACGTGCATCAACGCTCGGCCGCGTTCCTCCACGATGCTCGATCGAAGAGTGCATCGACAGCACGAGGTTGAACGCTATCGAGACACAAATGAGTAAGTATCTAAATAGCAGTCACCATGAGTCGCAAGCTTTGTGATCACTCGAAGCACATGCCTAAATAAATCTTCTCTCATCGCACAATGTGAATACCTCCTGTCTGTCACCGTTGTCTATTGCTGAGAGAAGCCCCGAGGGCCACCCAGACGGTAACAGCCTTACGTTGCTCACATACGGCGCCGACACCACCGACACTCGCGTGATCCGCAGAACGTGGAGCTTGAAGCTAGATGACCAAGTGGAGGCATCGTCAGGACTCGGAACATGCGCGTCCGCGACAGGCTTGCCGGCGTCTATACAACAGACATCTCGGTCCAGCTGTATTTGATTCAGGGCAGGTCGATACGTGTAGGCTGGGGAGCGCGTATCGCCGGTAGATTTGTTCCTAGTACGAACTTAAGCAAACACCACAAGCACTCAAAATGATACCATCAGGATTCTACGAGAACGGTATCGTCAAGCTCAAGCCAGCATTCAAGAATGTTCTTTCGGATGAGGATGGTGCGCGGTGTGATCCGTGAGGTCAAGTGGGTGAGCAGGTACCATCTGCCACTTTGTGAGTAATTATACAAGTGTGCTGTCTTGTGCTCATGTGGACCCCGTCAAAGACAGTGACAGAGGCATACATTCTGGAGCGCAGTACCGCTTTGTGCGGGTCTAGCCTCCTCGTGGTGAAGCAAACCTGTATGAGGTCCAGGATGAAGTAAATACTTCAATGCGGTCGCTCATGTTGGCAGGAACTACGGTGTAAGTTGTCACGGTCTGAGGATCAGAGGATTGACTAGCGTTTCTCGTCATCCCGTGTTCAGTACTCAGTCCTCTTCCATAATTGGCAGCTCTTTAGGCTCAACTCCGGGTCAGCAGCCGGCACGTACAGCTGTCCAGGTCCAAGTGGGGTCTGTCGAGAACGGATGCCGATGCACCTCGCTGGTCTTGCACCTCCTGGCTGGCGTCCCCGGACAATTTGCACCATGCAGGTTTGGTGGCTTGCTACACATCACGTCGCGCTGTCTGTTAGATAGGTGCAGGTTAATTCTGCGCTTGTTTGTTGCGCTGTTTTTGGCTGATGATTGGCTTCTTATACGCTGGAGGTTTGAGCCCGATCGAGGTTCATGTCTGGCTTGCATTTCTATCAGAATTTGAGCTGTGCATAAGCATAGCACCTCGGAATCCTCCCCCTCCTTTGTAAAATCCTGTGCCAGACCTATCCCATCAAGTATTATTCCATTTCTGACATGGTTTTGGTTTACATGTCCCCATTTCAACAGGGTAACCATCTATTGAATCCTGGAGGCATTCTAGAAAGGAATACAGTGTGCCACGCGATGCTTCCATCCTATAACCTGCATCATCTCGAGATGATGCGATGGTTGCGCATAAATCAATATTCTGTCCTTCCAGCATCTATCCTTTCCTACCGCTGGCATAGAAGTTGTCCAAGAAGTCTTGCAGTAGCGCCGGATATCGTGCACGGGACTAGTATGGTGAATATACTTCTCCCCCATCAGAATTTATTTCATTGGTCTGGGCAGTGTAGCAAGCGTCTTGCATTTAGCCAGAACAACAGTAAATGACCACTCGTTGTCCAAACAAAAGAGACACAGAGCAGTCCACGTCCCGGGTTTGATTGCTCCATCTGGTCCTGCTTCCTCAGCACATGGGTCACCTTGATGCGATGGCAGTCCCCACATGTATCTTTGGAACTTCTCTTCGGTATATCATAAGATTCCTTTGAGGTTCAGATGATTGCAATCACTGACCGTAGCCCAATCGCACCATGATGCTTGATGAATGGTGTGTTCTCTTCTGTGGTGCTCGTCATTCTAGAAATTTTCACAGATTGAACATAAATCAACTTTCTTTCAAATGGGTTTGAATGCTTGATGGGTCGAGTCACAGTAATGTTACGTGCTGGAGCCTGTCCCATAAATGCCTGTCACTAAATTAAACTGTTTAACACCACAATCTCGAGTGGAAACGATGATTATCAATGGCAGGCGAGCCAGTATCCCCCTCTTGCTCTTATTGATATCCGGTCTCAACCTCACTTATATTCTCTCGACTCTCCTCCCGATTATCCGCTCAAAATATGCTGTGAGATCTAACGTATATGGTAAGAGGAAGGAGCGCATATCGTATTGTGCTCAGCTGAGATGATGGTTTTCAGACTATCGCGGGCACAACTTCCCGCTAAGACTTCCTCTTCCCAATTGGCAAGTCGACACGCACTCCGCACTACTCACAGTCGAGGAGTCCCCACATTATCCATTGCAAGGAGATGAGTCAAGCGAACAGTGGATGTCCCTCAGCACGACAGATATGGGCTACGTCAGATTGGGCCCTGAACAGCGCATCTTTGTCGTCTCCATGTTCCATGAATTGCATTGCTTGCATATAATAAAACTGGCCTACGACGACCCATCAATGAATCTTGGCCACATCAAGCATTGTTTGGACTATCTGTACTTCATGTCTCTATGCTCGTCTGACACCACACTCGAGCCCGGTGACTTCATGGACCGAGATTTCTCGATTGAAAGGACGGGTGTGACCCACGTCTGCAGAGATTGGAGTTCAGTTTATTCGGCTATGGACTATAATTATAATGAATGGAAGAACTCAACGACTTAGGTGACTGAGCTTACAAGATTTGGATGCGGTTTGAACTGATCATCCTCTTCTCCACTTAGATGCGTAGACCTGGAGAAATATAGCAAAGTGGAGAACGGGAGGACGCTCGAGAAAGAATTTGCTGTATGGAGTAAGATTTACATATGATGTATTATGTTATGACCAACAACCTAGACAAGGTGGACGTGAAACCATCTAGCATTGACGGGTGTCATGCTTGAGAACTAAATGCCACCTGTATCATCTCCGGTCCCACCACTCCATTACAGTTCTCGTCGACCGACGTCGGGAGTAGAAGACTTGAACTTTAGTGCCTGATCTCTTAGAGTCGTCGTCGAGCTCTGGTGCATGCACACTGACACATCCGGGCCTTCCACATTTCCAGTTGTGGCACCGAAGCGAACAGAGGATATAGTCCCTTTCAGGTACGTCTGTTTGGACCATGCACGTCCCCGAGCGACATGAATCAATATGAGCTCAGGAGCTATACACTACAAGACGATACTCAGCTCGAGATCAACCATTTGAGGAACATGAACAGCACTCACGGAGAATTGCACCATAGGCATGAGAAAGAGCGCTTCCATGGGGCTGTTGAGACCGTACAGTATGACGTAGAGAACGGACAAGAGCGTGTATGGAAGTGCGGATTCCACCAGCATGGATACAGCAGTAAGGTAGACCCGTCCATGCTCATGGCCGAGCGTCGCCATTATCTCATAACGCATCCATAGCAGGCGGAACACCAACATAGAAGTCAGTAGGACATTGAGGCCCACAGAGACGGTCCAGTATGGTAAATTAAACTTCCTCACGGAAGCTTTCCATATGCTCTCCTCAGGTTGTGCGATAATGACCACACCAATTATGGAAAACGCTGCCAAGTATTCTCAATGGAAAATTGTTATGAACGAAAGGACTGGCGTACCTGTGGAGGCGGAATACATCAGGCAGGGTAAAACCATCACCCAGCGCTTGTTGTACCATACCATGAAACAGCGAACAAGCTGGAAACAAGAGTTAGATAGCCGGCTTACGAAGAATGCACAGACATACGAGGACACCATCTGTAATAAATGTAGCTATGATGGCAGCTGAATCGCCCACGATGGACAAGATCCGGGTTGGTCTCGTCTCAGAGAACCGGAGGGCACCCATCTGGATGTTATCATATACACAGAGCAGGTCGATATCACGGAAGTTTGTAGCCGTGTTGATCGTGGCCATACTGAAGAGGACAGTGGCCAGTAACAGGGATAGCCAAGTAACACTGGTGCGACGTGGCGAATGCAAAATGAAATATACGCATGTACAAAATACGCAGCAGTGAATACCTGGATTGTATAGAAATTGTAAATGACAGAGGATACTGTGTCAAATTTAGTAACATACCGTAGAAGATGGCCCCGAGGTGAACCCCATCCAGGGAAAGCTGATCTGTGCGGAGGAGCGAGCCTGATGTTGAACGCCGTGTCATCATTCTGAAGTGGAAAATACGAGGAGAGTTCAGAGTATCATCGGGGGCTTTATCAATAGGACGGTTGTAGTGATACGCGAAAAGCCGTACCCATTGACATTGACTCTTCATGCCCCTTCGGCGGTGACATGCTAGGGACTCGGATCTTAAGGGAAAACGCCGACGCCAACGCCCATACCTGCTTTTACACACCTGCAAAATAAGCACTATTGAGATAGCGATCATTGTCATCAGTGTTATTGATCATCAGCTAGGGTAGCTGTCAATGGCAATTTGATTGCGACGTCACTGACCAGACAGGTGACATGTTGGCGACTCTGATGTTGTGTCAGATACAAGAGAAAGTGAGTCCAGACGATATCGAAATATACGCCGGTCGATATAGAAATGGAGTGGAGCATCATTCACTAAGCTATGCGTAAGATTAAGTCAGAAACTATGCATGCGGAGAATGGCCTTTACTATCACACCACGATCTAATCATAATCCCTGTCCGGCTTTCGTGGTCAAGGCTAAACACATTAGTTCTGCGAAGGATTCTTCTGCATGATTGGCTTCCTCCATAGTAACTTTGTCACGGGCTTAGGAATTACTGACTCCAACTCCTCAGTCGTATACGACTCTCGTCTCCTTCGTTGACAACCCGACAAGAACATCAACATAACAAATACCTTAGCTCACAACATCGAATCAAACACTAGTGTGTCGTTGGCCATAGCAGTCGTTCTCATAACTTCAGGCTTACGCACTGTACAGAAATGTTCCAGTAGAACATCACATATTCAAAAAATCAGCCACAAATAGCATATATCGCCCTCGCTCTTCCCAGAACGGCGTATGACTAGATCCCTCAAACGTGTACCATCGCACTTTGGGGATCCCATCAAAATACGGCTTGCACGTAAAATCCTGCGCGAAATCGTCGCGTCCATTGATAAGAAGAGTCGGTACTCGAACGTGAGACAATCTTGCGACGATTGACCACTGCCCGAGGTCTCCTTTCACCCTGGAATCTGCTATGTTAGCCACTAACATCAAAGGTGTAACGGATGAGGCGACTCACATTGCGTCTGCTACCGTCCTGTCTCCCGTCTCAGGATCGGACTGTTGTCTCGAGTAAAGCAACTCCTGCGGCGTTGGCTTCACCTTGCAGCCAAACAAGCCATGAAAGTGTTCCATTGCCTCAACGAACTTTTCCTTGTCAGCTGCAGGCCCTGCAGCCAGCGCGGCCTGCTCGCCCTCGGGAAGACGCGACTTGAGTAGCACCTGAGACTCTTGCCATAGACTCATCGCCGCAGGGCTATCGGCGATGATGAGTCGGCGGAGCCCTGCGGGCTGACGCCGCACCTCAATCTCCGCACCCAACATCCCTCCCCATGAGTGGCCCAGGATATCGAAGTTATCCTCAATAGCGAAGTGGCGGACGAGATTCAAAAACTCATCGACGAAAAGATCGATAGTCCAAAACGACTGGGGCTTGTCACGGAGGTGCGTGGAACGGCCGTTGCCGATCTGGTCGTAGAAAATGATCGGGATGGATGCAATTGTGGCGAGGTCTTGGTTGGGGAGGAGGTAGTCGTGGGTGAAGCCTGGACCGCCATGTAGGACGACGAGGGGAGTACGCGTCCTATCACTCAAGTCGCCGACGATTTTGTACCAGGTGTAATGTGTCTCTCCATGTACAACGAAGGGCATAGACCCCTCCGAGATACGAGGGTGTTCAGGAGACATTAGCTTGTGCAAACTGCGACAACAGCTGGTGAACGCAGAGGGGGCGCAGCCAGACTCGTCCAATCAGGAAAACAGATGCAACGTAAGAAGCAAGAGGGTTAATACCTTTCTTGACCTGCCAGATAGATAGAATTCCCGACCACATGAATTGGCGAGAAATCACTGATCGTGGTGACAGCGGGCGGCGTAACAGAATCAGCCTTGAGGACCATTAGCGAAGAAAATAAACCGCGCGATTTTTCCAATCACAGAGAAATTCTGTATCCAGCAAGAGCATGGTCAGTTCTCCGTGATTGAGATTGTAACAACGGCGCGACGGTATCAAATCCAACTTGGACAAGATCTTGAGGCAGTGGCGCGCGCGTTATCACGTTGGATCCATGTATGGCTAGATGCATTATATAATACTACATCATATAACTTAGAATCTGACGAAGCTTCAGTGGCGCGCGTTCCTTCGATTGTTGAGTGGAGGAAGATACCGACGGGAGGAGATGCTAAGAATATTTGGTAAAGACTCCCGGGCCCTGCTCAGAGTTACTCGCTTCCGATGTGCGCCAAACTGCCAGTGAGGATGTTTTCGCAGCTCTTCGATCTTGCTCGTTGCGCCCGAACGCCAGTACGCCAGTTGTTTCGTGATAGTATCAAGCTCCTCACAAATTCGAACATCTGATCAAGTTTCCCAGCGCAGTCTAGTGATATTTATTCTCAGACAGCACGGTTTTATCAAGGAGACATCTGGAGTTCTGGTTGCCCATAAAAGCAGCCACAGTCGCATGATATCTCAACGACCACAGTCCCCTTCGAGAGGATTCGAGCCTATACTCAACACCGCCTGCAACACAATGCTCACTTACTCTCAGGCTCGTATCGCCGTCATTCTTCTGCTCGTCGCGCTGGCCCAGTGTGCTGTTGTGGCGCAGCGGCAAGGTATGTTCCTCGAGTTGAATAATAGCATGGTTCCTAATGTAGTATTAGATACGACGGAGGGCAGCGATTGGAGCGCGATGCTCTACTGATTTGCCAGTGTTCGCTGCGTGCGTATATTTTGAATAGACGGTGTTCGATCCCGTACTCAATGCCTCATACTTGCATTATATAGTTCAGGGTATTCTCAAACGCTGCGCGGATTCGATAGAAAATTGATTTGTATATTTTGTATATTTTGTGGATTGATTTCTTTTCGTCCAGGATCCGGTGAACGTCTTGTCTTGTGTTTGAAATAACAGGTCGATTTGCGCGCCCTGGATTATGCGCGCGCCAGTGTTTATGACCATGCCGAATGAATGTCGAACTTTTGTTTCTAAAGTTCAATGTTGTCCAACGAGACTTTTGCGAGCTATCAGGCACCTACTAGATGACAAACAGATCAACAAGAGGCAACGGCGAACTCACAGTTTACCGCGATTGGAGGGGTAACGACGAAAGTAAGAAGGGGCTAGGAATCTAGCTCAAGAGTGACCCTTGCTTTTGGAGTTTACAACTACGTCGAGGCTCTGGAATGTGCTGTGACCTCCATGGGGCTTTCTCGGCTACCGATCCGCTCTCAAGTGTTCCGTACGATCGAAGTTAGATACCAAATATCACTGGATTGTATGGTAACCTGCCACGTACTGTACTGCAGTGGGCAAAAGACATTCTCTGTTGCTTTCCGAATATAAGCGATCTGACACCACCGAGTAATCCCGGTTCCTACCAACGCATGAAGCGTGAGAAAAACCTGGGTGGTATGCCCGAGACGTACTTATCTGTAGCGCCTTTGCCAACCTATCCTTCTCCTCCTCCTTGGTCGATGAAACTATGCATTCCCCAGCCTCGGTTGCTAGCAACGGTCCAGTCGCGCACGCCAGTACTTGGACTCCACCAAAATACTAGCACGTGGCTGTTCAAACGGAATATGCGACTTTGAGGCTAACCAGATGAGAGTCGACACGAACAGCAAAACCAAGTAAGTCGTCCGAGATCGCGTGTACAGCAGACTGAAGTTCCCGCAATTTCGCCACGGACACCTGCTTGTTGTACCCCGCCTCATATCCTTATGCAGACAGAAGAGGCGCAGGGCGTGTACAAAGAAGGACTTACTGAATTAGACATCAAGGATGTCGAAGCTGTGCAAAGCACAGCTCGTGCTGTGATGCATGGCCGCGTACGTGCTCAGGCCTCGGGTGGTAGGCAAATTCAGCGTCAGTAGTTACACAAATTGAACGCGATTACGTTTGATGCACAGTGGCCAAAAATCAGGCATAGATTCCAAAAGTGTATCTCCGGGTTCCCTCTCGCCCACCATGCCATCACGACCTGTGACCCCATCTCTCATTGGTGTAGCGCATGAAGAACCGCTAGCGGGGCCAGAAGTTGAGGGGGGGTAGACGTATAGTGGAAATAGAGACGGTGAGTGGGTGCGACAAATACTGTGTAGATGATCGCTGGACTCTGCAGTAGCAGACGGTGAAGCCGAACTTGGGTCTATCACCAAGATTGCTCCGCCGGATGCTGACATGACCCTCGCACATTCTGTTCAGCTCCCAATTGAACTGTGGGAGAAGGTGATTGATTATGTCGCAGACGAGTGGAGGCATAATCACATGGATGATAGAGCTTGGATGCGAGAGCTCGGGAGGGTGTGTCGGGGATGGCATGCTCGATGCAATTTTAGTGGCCGCGAGACGCTGGATGCGAAGCCCATAGACAAAAAGCAGGTGTATTGCCTGATTAACATGCTGGACCAGAATCCCGAGCGATGCCGTGCCATCAAGATGGTCTCCTTCGAGTTCCATTGGCACAAGTTGGTCGGCATGTTTGGGTCGTTTGCCGCGTGTATGGCGCAGAAACTGTCTCGAGTCGAGTAGCTCAGGCTCATTAATCTTTATTGGGAGACTGAGCAGTTGCACCCGCAGGTATTCGTCCATGTGACTCTCGCATTCGGGTCGGTCAGCATGCTCGAGCTCTCCGAAGTGGCATTCTCTTCTGACTTGGTGTTCGGACGGCTTGTGCGTGCGCTTTCCCGCCTTTCCTCCCTCACATGTCGGAGGGTGTTCTTTGAGAGGCGCTGCGGTGTTGCGGGTAGAGTTTGGCCGTGGGTGCAGCATCCCCTCCAACTCGACACCGCCAGCTAGATGAATGCGATGATGTCTTCGACTTCCTTGCGCTCATCGGCGCTCACCTGCGCCGTCTCTCCTGCCATGAGGACGAGCTGGAGACGTGCGCGGGGCTCCTCACTGTGTCGGCGGACTCGCTCTCGCCCCTGTATATTGGGCTTCATAATAGAGGTTCGTCGCTAAGGCAGTTTCTCGATGACACAGCTGGTGTTTTCTGTATGTTCTCCCAGCCTTTCCCATCTACCTCACGCCCGCCGTCAATTTACGTGTCCTGTCATTTACTCTCCCCTTTAAAGATTTGGCCAGAGCAGCTGGTGTGGTGTTCCGCGCATCTCTATCCAAGCTAATCGGGATCAGGATCACTTCGACGTTTTATGACGCTGCGTCGTCGTCAGTTGCCTAGGACAAGCTTGATCAAGGTGACAAGGACTCATATGTACTGTTTGACCAGATTCTCTCCGGTCGTCAATATCCCGCCCTACAAACGGCTGCTTTTCATCTTCTCTCTAGGGTGCCCCGCAGTGGTGTGATGGATGTGATATCCGAGGGCTCCTTGGGGCGTCAACTTTCGTCAAGGTTCCCTGCACTGCATGCCAGTGAACGGCTTGTGTGAGTAATTCACCGTATGCACCCCACATTGGCTCCGGGTTCCATCTTGCGTTTACTAGCACTCATCCATATTCCAGGTCGTCCGTGTCGGTTCACGTGTATAATGAGTGGGAATGATGCTAACAGTCTACTTCTGGCTTTGATTTCACAATCACCCCCCGGGATGTGTTACTTTCCTCTATCATTGCGCGCCGGTGCATTGTCGCGCTGCTAGTGTTCCCCCTTGCGCGCCGGGGCATATTCGTCTCTCGCCAATTTGGACCCCCAATCGCGGCTCAGATGCTCAGAGCACCCCTGTCAACAACATCGGTACTCGTGTTTCTGCTAGTCATCGAATACGCTGTCTGTACCCCGGCTTACGCTCCGATTGCGTACCTCTGTCCAGTGATAAACATGTCGTGCATACGGCAGCTTAGAATACCGCAAGTTTACCATCGCGCTCTCGCCTAGCGTGGGCGGCGCCTGATCGACAACAACTTCGGCTGCAGAAAGTGCAAAGGTTCTCCAGATACATCGCGAAAATGATGCTGGGCTGTTCATCGCGCGAGAAGAACACTTCACTGAGGGCTCCAGAGAATCCGCGACGCACTCGACGCCAATTGTCACTACACACCATGTAGTAGGTACGTAGATCTATCGCGCGCGCGTGGAACGGCATCCAGATCGCCATTCGCTGCAATAAGTTATGCCGCGACTGTATACTTTCCGGGGTTGAGTACAGGAACAGACCTTTGCCGTTGGTAGAGAGTGGAGAAGGGTAGGTCGTCGGGGTTCGGAGGTGACAGCTGCGTCCCTTTTCATCGACCCAGATCAGTAGAATTTCATATACCGCCTGGCATCAAGTGAATAGGGTTCAAGCCAGAGGAAATTGGACAGTTGACACCGTTTGTGCTAGACTCGCAGTGCTGCAGAGTCCACATGCAGTGTTGCATTCTGTCCCGAACCCTCTACGCTCCTTGACAAATTACATTGAATTGCGAAACAATAAAATGATCCACAATGAGCACCCCATACATATCCCTGATCCCCTGTACTCATACACATGCTGTAAATGTTCGGAGCCAGATATCATCAAACGTCCGATCGCTCCCCAGGCTGAGTCGTCCAGCGCTCAGCACGCGCCATCGTCGGTCCAGACGCCCGCTGGACAGAGCTCGTCAGCATACGTCCGCCAGTGGAATGGACCAAATACTCACCCGATCCGCCTGGAGTGTCCCCGTACGTCCACCACTTCGCCGTCCAGAGGTCGCCGCCTGTGATGTGCGGTCGCGTCAGGATCGGTCAATACAACACAACAGACTGGCGCGCACCATATGTCGCATTATCTCCTCCGACATACGTCGCCTAGTGATGATCACATCCATCAGTACAGTCTCTATAATGTTCATAAAGCTGAAAATGCACCGTAGCGCTCCACGCGCCGACTCCACTACACTCGCCCGTTGTGGTGGTGGTCGGAGTCGCAGAAGACGTCGTCGTCGTGGGCGTTCCACTTGTCGCAGTCGTCGCAGTACTTGTCGTCGCAGTCGCAGTCGTGGAAGCACTTGTCGTTGTCGTCGTCGTGGACGCACTTGTTGTTGTCGTCGTTGTTGTCGTTGTCGTTGTCGTCGTGTTCAACTCGCCCATGTTGTTTGCGATGTTCGTCCACTCACTGTCGGGGTAGCTGTGTCACGCGTGGTAAGCAATGTCTAGTTGAACACAGAGACAACGGCACTTACTCGATATGGTTCTGCATTGCATGACTGGCATGAACATGGAAAGTGAAGATGGGTCAAATTGGCTTGCTCACCAGAGTCTGGTCCAGCGATCCGTACGTCTGGGACGTCGTGTACACCAACGACTCCGAGCCTGTCTTGTCCGTTGAGAGCTAGATGCAGCACAACATACCGTCAGCCACCGCACCATCAGCGAGGCAGCGCATATTTACATCCCAGAACATGGACCCTGCGAGGCCGTTCGCGATGACGTACTCCGCCTTCTTCGTGACAATGTCCGGTGTATCATACGATACAAGCTCCATCTTCGTCGAGTCGTATGAATAGCTCGCTATGTCTGTGTAGTTCTCGTACACCTGACAGGGAGAGAGAGCGTGTCAGTGTACATTAATACATCACGAATAATGGCGTAGACGTACCGACGCTCCAGCGAGCGGGAGGTCACTGTAAGAGTAGATTCCAGCCTGAAGCGTACCCGGACCGACCTGCGCATCGTCTCCTGTATCAGTGCACAACTCTGGTTTGAAGACGTGCCTACTCACCCCATTGTATGGTGCTCCGATTCCAGTCGTATTCTCAAACGCACGGCCGTATAGCGGGACACCTGTGCGGCGACGGCGGTGAGACATGCTATGCAGGAGGAGTATCAAGCACCAGCGCACCCATGTTGATCTTGCTCGCGGTTGCTCCATTCTCGAGGTACCACTTAATCGCCTTGTTCGTAGACGTGTTTGTGAGCGTCGGATCGTAGACATTCGCTGATGATCAATTGCAATTTAGTAATGCCGCGTCTTTGCGCAACGTCTGGAGTCAGCTGACCTTGGTTAGCAGTCTTGAACACAAAATTACCAGTTCATCAAATACAAAAAGCTGCAAACAATTTCATAGCACTCACGATGTTCAGCCACGAACCGGCATAGTCGTACGCCTGGCAGTCGCTGGGAGTGAGAGATATAGATAAATTAATGGGTTGGGGCGCACCATAAGATTCCAGTATGACAGCGCCGCGTCCATCTGTGGGACTAGTAGGTACTGATAGTTGTCCCATCCCGCAGACACAGCCGCCTATCCCAGGGGGGAATGAACATCAGATCATGACGCAGGGAGTATATAATACATACGGTAAGTTGATAGGGAATGGTATCGCCCTTACTCGTGGCGAGGTCGTCAAATGCAGTACGCAACTCCGTGATGAGATCCGCGAAGCCCTGCGCGAGCTCGGGCGTGTCCGGATACTCGTAATCGAGGTCGATGCCATCAAGCCCGAAGTTCTCGACGTAGCTCACCGCGCTCGCAACAAAGGTCGAACGCAGGCTCGCGTCTGTGACGAAACTGAAGTGTCCGTCTTGCGAGTAGGTATAGCCGCCGATCGAGAGGAGCACCTTGAGGTTCCTGTTCGCGAGCTTGAGGAGATACATCTGCGGAGGCGGATTTCTAGTGGAGATCATTACGCCAAGAGGATGACAAACCTGCTTCAAGCAGCCGAAGAGGTTGTTTCCCGTCTGATCCCACGAATCGCCAGGGAAGTGTTTCTGGTGAATCGCGTTCGCAATGACATCACTACACATATGATATCCAGAGGCGTACCTGCTCGTCCGCATACGAGTCCGCCAGCGAGATGTTCCCAGTGTCAGGCGAGACGTCCGCAAACGCATACAAGATATGCGTGAGGTCTGATGGAGTGATATTCGTCGGCTCTGCATAATAAATCCGACGTCAGTCAGCAGTACTAGCGTGATCGGGGAGCGAGGCGTGGGGCACGCACGGAAGTTGGCGCCATAGATTGACCTGAGGACAGTGGCGCATCAGCCAGGCTGAGATCGGCGATATCGCAATAATCCCTAAGAGAACGCACCAGTCTGTGAAGTATGCAGCCTGGACGTAGCCGGTGCTGGCGCGCTTCTGCACGACGTGAGGCGTCGCATCTCCCGTCGGGAACACGCGCGGGGGGTCCATGTAGTCTGCTGGTCGCTGCATTACCTGCGTCGCATTCGCGCAGACGAGCGCGCCCAGCGCGGCGAGCGCCAGGAAGAGAAACCGGCCCAAGGGCGTCGATGTCGATGTTGATGCCGAGCGTGCCATGACGCGGGGTGGAAGCAGAAAGGTCTGAGCCAGAAGAAGTGGGGCGGGTATGGGTATCTCGGTAGGTGGGATCCCTCGAGACCGAGACGAGGCGTCGACGGATGAACAGTGCGAGATAGCGGGGCTTTTGTACCCTCACTTCTCGTTCCGTAAGCTAGATCATACCGTGTGTCGCGCGAGTGCTGATGCGAGTGCCCCCGCACGGTGCGATACCAGCACAAAATTAGGACCATACGGCCGCCCCGGCTTGGCAGATGCGGAGAGAGCAGCCAGCACATGTACCAGAGGCAGGGGTCGCCGGGAAAGGGAGCTGAGACAGGTGATCGTTCAGCGAGAGGCTGCTCTCCTTGGGAGCCATGCGTTGGGGGGTGCCTGTCACGAAGCGGCGTGAGTGGCGCGCAGAGCGGTCGTGTGCTGTCCCGGGCGACAGCGGAACCTTACTGCCATGACTGAGAGCAGCTCGCAGGAGAATCGAGAAATGTCCGACGGCCATCAGGCGCGCGCGCAATTGGGACGATGAGCGACGACCTCGGGCTTACCGGGAAAAAGTGCGAATGCTCAGCGAATCAGCGGGCTCGGATGCAAGTGTATTCCCCGAACGAGTTGAAACAAAGCGTATGGCCGGGATATCTTCGCAGCGCGCGGCAGGCGTGCACGGTGCTATACTTATGCATCTGGGTGTCTCGGTGAGCTGGGCGTCCTGAGATAGCAGCATGCAGACTGAAAAGACCGAATACGCACAGGATCAATGATAGTAGCGCTCTACCATGCGGGTGCGTATCACTCCTCCAGCCATATTGCCATTGTGGGATCCGCATGACCGACGATTCGACTCGAGCTATCGTTCCCTCTCGCCACAGCTCATGGACGGTCAACGGTGGACGCCACATCTTGCCACCTCATATCTAGTTGCTGATGAGCTTGCAAATCGCCCACCCGAGCGACACTTGAGAGACCACCAGCCGTTTCTCGTTAGCCACGCGCCACCGTCGCTCGTAGCGCCTTGTCGTGAGTTGCGGAAGAATTAGAAGGACCAGCTGTACATATGCAGGCGATAAGCAACCATATCGATAGCGCACTTCGGAACACAGACCGGTGCTCGTGCCTTTCCCAGTTGTGTGGTAGGTCACAAACTTGTGCTCACTTACTTATCTAATATCTACATGGAAGCCCTCTAGCAGCAGCTCTCTGGCTTGGCGGCTTCGCCTTAGTTTGTAGATGAGCGCGGAGATACCAAGGAAGATATATATAAGGCATGGTGTAATGAATCCTCGATGGCATTTGAATGATCAATGAGCGTGAGTGTGTGAACACTCTATAAGGTTAAAAGCAAGAGGCAAAGCAAGAGGCGGCAACGCAAGTGGCGAGCCAGCCTACTTAGACGCTGGTATCTGATCGTGGGATGATCAGCCCCACGTACGTACAGCTGCTCATTTTGGAATTCATCAACCTAGTTCTACTTAGTCGCAATACTCTGCTAGCTCGGGAAAGACATACTCATCAGCCTCCATTCATTCCATATGTCACACAGGTTTCGAGGGAGCAGCGTGAGTTGTCGACGAATGCGCTGATAGGTACCGCCGCGGACCGAAACTGCAAGGCACTGGCCTTTGATGGTAGCTGAGTCCTCTTTTACTCACAGTAACTGAGTCTATTTGACGACGACGCCGAGAGACAGGAGAGAGAAGAGCAAGATCGGCGAATCCACTGTGAGAAGGAAACACTTCTCTACCCAAAGCGAATCAGGAGCCCTCTCATCGCGAGTCATTGCAGGGAAGTGCTGCCGTTGCCGCTGATACCAGCTCAGACTGTTCACTTCGTCACGATGTACGAGGGAGCGTTGGGCACACCCCCGGAATTTGAATATGTGCAGTATCTTTAACAAGCGTTCCTCTCGACTCCACGGACGGCGACCAACTGGCAATACTCTCTTCACTGCTTCACCAGCGACTTCATGAGTTTTACGAGAAGAGTGAGATCAATGAAATGGGGAAGGAGTTGCGGTTCTGACGTGCTTCTACATTACTGTCTTTATACATAAATGCTCAAGCTTGTTGATGAAATCGCCAGTCGCATTCACACCATAGGGATAGGGATCGCATGGAACTTCACCGGTCACCTATCATCGATCACACCAGAAAAAGACCCACCTGGTGCTTAGAGGAAGAGCCGAGGAGAACCTGCGTCATCGGCACAGCCGGATGATTTCCCAAGCAATCGGTAGCGACCAGTCAATAGCGAACACAAATATCATCGTCTAAGGTCTAGCAGCAGTGAGTTTATACAGCGCACACGATTTTATGCGAGATTCAGACAAATATGTAACCGCGTATATCTCCTATTAGCCGAAATATATACGCACTTGATGCACAGATATTGCGAGCAAATTGTATAGTACCATTAAGCAGAGCGAAGAAAAAATTGCCTCTAATGGCGCTCCAGACAGCGTTGTACATTTCGAAGCGGACTAGTATGTCCCATACGATCCGCTGAACTTAAATTCCCCGGAGTCCGACCAGCGAACGTTTACGTCGCTCGTCAGGAACAAATAGCTGTACCTACAGATCGACCATATCACCGTCAGTACTGGACGAGATACGTGCGAGCCGGATACAATGACGGACGCACATGGCAGACGACTTGCAGTGCCCAATGCAGTCCTCAAACTCTGCAGCAGCGAACTTCTTCATCGTGAACTTTGGCGGCCCGCCCTGCTTCATCAGCACACCAAACACCTCCGCGTCCGGACACACCCCGTCATACGCCCACTTCGCCCGCCCGCCTCGTTGTGCAGCGCATTCAGACACATCACAGACGCAGATGCAGACGTGGCAGCCAGAAAGTCCACGAGGAAGGAAAGCGAGAAAGACGACAATTGAGGACACATTAATCACACACTCGACTGGCATTCACAGTCATCTGCTTCTTGATTCCACTCTGCGCCGCCTTTCGCAGCTTCTCCGCTGTCTCCTCTAGCTGATCCCTTGTTTTCGCCGGCGCAGACCCGCTAGGCCCCGCACCACTCCCAGACGCAGCGGCCGCCCTGCCCTCAAGGAACTTGCGTATAATGCGAGATTTACAAGTGACTTGCGCTGTCCAGCTTGCGTTTTGGCGGCATGCGCGGCGCGAAGAGTAGGTGGTTGAGTATTAAGCTGGGCTGCCGAGCAGCAGAGTATTTTGTTGGAAGAAGGGAGCGTTGTCGCGCTGTTGCGTTACTGACGCGTTACGTCACGCGATTGAGCGCGTTGCGTAACACGTTCGCGCTGTACAACGCTGTTAGCCTGATTCAAACATAGAGTCGTTCCCTGACTAATAAGACTTGTAATTTATACACGGACTAGTCCGATAATGTCAGCTAATACAGGTTTGGGGCTAGTGATGCAGGCTGGTAGTCGATACAGATACAGATACAACAGGGCATCAAGACAGTGCTAACGATACAGAGGGTAGGGAAGCGGCACTTATACATCATCAGGTTCACAACATGAACAATAACTCGACAGCTGAATGCGAAAACGACACGAGGTGAGCGATGCGGACGCAGAGCGAGATAACAGAAGCAATTCAATAATGATAGGTCAAATGAACCAAGGGATGCGAGGTCAGGGAAATGACAGCCCAAAATCTCCAAAATCAGGTCGAACCCCAGAAGCAGTTGCAGGCCGCGGGGAGGCCAAGTGGGTATCCTCGATCAGAACGCCAAAACAAGGGAGTAATCCACAGCACCGAGCGCAAAAAAGCTAGAGTCTATGGTGGCGGTGATAGACCTCTTCGGAACCGGTCCAGGACGTCCTTGCACGTCTTCGCATGGCGATACCCACTTTCCGCCCGTCCATTATGGCGCCAGTTACACGCCTTGCACTCCAGCCTGTACTCCCCACCCGGCGGGCCATGGCACTCGAATATGTGCCGCCCATAGTGGCTCCGCTTTATCTGTTGCGTACAGCGGTGCCCGCTGGATGAAATCCACCCGCACTCGTACATGTCGCTGGGCCCGCGCGCGCGACAATACAGGACGTGTGCGCGCGTATCCGCCAGGGTGCCGTCAATGTGACCCTGACAGCCCTGTATGTTCTGGAGTTCGGGGGCGATCCGGCAGGGGTAAGGGGCGTGCTGGTGGAGAATGAGTCGCATCCAGCGTTTTGCATCGAAGATGCGCTGGGGCGCAGGAGGGACGTTGGAAGAGGTTGAAGGACCGGCAACCGGTGTGTCTTCGAGGACGGGCGCAGGGCTGAGAGGGGCAAGGGATGGATCTGTGTTAATTTCCGAGGCAGTCGAGGCCTGTTCTCTATCTCCAACTCTCGCCCTCTTCAGCGGCCTAGCTTCTTCCGGCCCAGGCTCGATGGCAATAATTCGGGGCGAATTATTCTCCTCGTCCCGACGGCGTTTTGAAGGGTGAACGGCCGTTGCGTTCGATGCATCCTGTAAGGGAGCCGACTGGACGATCTGCGCCAACGAAGACTCTCCCTCTTGCGGCCAACATTGCGACGGTTCATTGCAAAAAGCAAGTCTAGACGACGAACTACCAGTTTGTACCTGATCCTGGGACGGCCGGGCGTCATAAACAGGCTGGGCTGATTTTGGTGCCTCTATTGGCACGCTCGATATCACATGCGGTCGTACCTGTTGGAGACCTTCGGGCTCCCGAGATTCTTGTTGCACCTCTGCATACGTGGAGGCCTGAGGCTCCATACCCGAATTTTCTTCCTCGTGTTCTTGGCCATAGGACATTTTAGCCCTATACACCTGCATACAGTACTCCTGAGCCATGGCCGCAGCTTCAGGTGAGTGTTTGCACATTTCGTAGTACCAGAGTGTTAACACGAAGTCGTCATGATAGACCGGCGTAGAAATCAGCGCCTCCAGCTCGTCTGCATCGCCATTGGCCGACGGGTCGAACGAACAGGGAGGACCACTCAGCAGTGCCACAAACTCCCGTTGCCTGTTGTATGCCACTGGCTCTGGTATTCCGTTGGGTGCCTCAGGATCCAAGTCCTCGGACAGCGAAGCACCGACGGGTGAAATGCCACAGCCATTCGGGGGACCGCAGAATTCAGCACCAGTTATTGACGGCTGAATATACGACGATGCGGGGAGCGATCCCGAGGCGACTTGACTATCTGTGAGGAAGCCGTTGACCGTAGAATTGTCGACCCAGTGAGGAGGCACGACGGGGAAGTGATCGTGAATTTCCGCCTCTGGCGAACCAGAAATTGTTGCCTGCAAAGCTACACCATGTCCGCCATCCACGATAGTTGCCACGTTTGATGATCCATCCGCGAGAACGTAGTCCACAGAAGAAATCTGATCCGTCTGCAAAGACTCAACATCTGCATACGCCGAAGGACCAGATTGCTGAGCCGAGTACTGTGAACCGTCTACACCATAGTGGCCGTAATACTCGGCATCCAAAGCGGGCATGACAGAAGAATCTGTGAGAACACAACCGATGTTGAGTATTTGTGGAAAAGAAAATACATGGACAGCTGCAAGCTTACTAGCATACGGATCATCCTGGCTACCACAAGCCTGAGCGTAGTACTCCGGGCTGGCCGATGGAGGAAGCGCAAGATAGTTGGTGTACACCAACTCTTGCTCGGCTTCAGACTGGTCAAAATGCTCCGAGTAGTAGGCGGGAACAACATCGCCGGAGACATATTGACTATGGTAAGAGTGATCAGCAGAGAGTATATGATAACCACAAGAACAACACTCACTCAAGGAACTGGGCCATGGTCGAGAATGTAAATGTGATTAAAGAGATCTTAAAGAATAGTAACAAGACTGGTGGAGGGTGGGAGAAGTAACCGAGGGTTGAACCGGAGGATGGTTGCAGTCGTGGAGTGAAGTGAAGAAAGGAGAGGAACACGAACGTGGCGGCTTTTATAGCCACAGTACCCTGCCACAAGCCACAGCGACCGTCGCGACTTGAACACTAAATTGCAGTGGCGTGCGCAAAAGGTCGGGTGGCTCATTCAGGATGCACAATGCACAGCCACCTCGTCGTGTCCGTCTACATCATCCACGCCACAACGACGTTTCGCACTGTCATCTTCTGCCGCTAGAAGCCTCTGCCGACTGCTCCAACGACGAGTAGTCTGAAGGCAACTCGTATGCAAGTAATACTGGGCATCTCTTCCTCTGAGCCTAAGCCATTCTCCTAGTGTGGCATGCTCACGTGAATATTATGCAGATGAGAACGCAAGGTGCGAACTTTACCAGTCGGCGTCCTTCACACTGATCGTTTGCAATAGACTCCTGGGTTCTTTCCGTCGCTTTCACCATGGCAAGTCCTTCATTGTCGTGGATGAACATGCAAAGTGTAAGGGAACAAGTGTTCAAGTGTTTATACCATTGGTACGTAAGGTTTTTTTGTGTAGATGATCTAGGCGACGGTCAGAATTCGCCCAATCCGACAATAAGCAAATGTCAATCACCCGTACATTGTCCAGAAGGGCAAGCGAACAGGGACACGAGAACAAAGACTGGAAAAGGCTATAGAAGCGCAAGAGTAAGCCATGGCGACATGCTCAAGGTCGGGACCGTAGATTAGATGACGACGTACCAGGTGAAAGAGTGCACATCGTGCCAGCTTGTTCATGAGCACAACAGCTCATCGAGGTTCACCGTTTTTCAAAGTACTTCAAGCCAAAGTGTTAACGTGCGAAACGGTGTAAAAAATACAGCCGATACTTGGACGATGATCAGGGTAGGGTTTTCGATGAAGGGTGAAGATGCCTTGCTTTTATAGGCGTTCATGCGGGCATCTTAGCATACTTTTACGTTACATTGTACCCGAGCCAGGACAAGGCAGAAGGGGTGTTCCCAAGGAAAGCGTCAATTGTGGACACACTTGTGGGCACAGATCGGATGACAATCGAAGATCTAGCTCGTACACAATGACAAAAGGTCATAATTTAATTGATAAAATCAACCCAAGCACGGGAGAATCATGAGCTGCGTGGACACCCAAGCAGTGACAGTCGGGCCATTTTGACGCTTGCGTCCTCGCGGTGGCGGCGAGCCGTGCACTAGACCCTCGTAAGCGCAATGACCTTACTAGCGCAACAGACCCTCTCGTCGAAGCACGTCAGAAATGTTCTGAATGGAGTGTGTCATGACGACCGAACGCATCCCAGTAGGCTCGAACGAGGCCAACGCATTCCGCAAGACGTCGTGAATGAGCGAGAGGAGCGATAGATCATTGCTGGTGAGGGCTCTGCATGTCTCGTGGGGTGGCCTGATCATCCCAGCATCACAGACCGGCGGTCCCGTGGGGCTGATGAGGGAGGGGAATGGACCCACGACATGCCCGGAAAGGTCAAGAAGGAAGTCTCGCGCAAGAAACAGTGCGGGTTCGGCGAACGACCATAACCATGCCTGTCGATTAGTTACGATCCAATCCGCGGCATCTACTATACGAGTCTAGGTGCGTACAGATAAAGTGTAAGCTGAATGCGAAGAGTCAATGAACTCACCACTGCGACATAGAGCGATGTCTTTCTCATGCCACACCGATGGCGGTCGGTGTGATCAAACTTCACAGCCATGGCCCAGAATATTAGGGATAATACTCGTGCAAAGGCCTGTCGGAGACGCAGCGTTGGATCCTGCGAGGCTGGATTAGAGCCAACCTGAAGCAGACTTTCGTCCGTAAATGTACTCGATTTTGCCCAAAGTCTAGCGCGATCACAGAGTGGCACACTGGCGAGTGCGTACACATCGGGAATATCGAGATCGTCGTATAGCCCAGCTGTAAGAATTGCTTCTGTCCGCTTGTTCTCGGCGGCCCGTAGCAGGTCTTCCATATCCAGGCACAGGTCGACGAATGCACAATGTTCGCGCTGGAACTCGTCAAGCTCCAGCACTGCGAGAGGAGCTTTGTCTCGTATACATCCCATCTCTGGGACGCCACCAGCAGAGAAGGGTATGCGCGTACCAGGTATCGCGGACTGGTTGCCTGAGCCGATCAATGCTTTATTCAACAGCCAGACGGCTCGTGCAAACCAGCGTCGGACGCCGCGCTGCATACCTGTTGACGGTCGCATGGCTTCTACAACATCGATGGTAAGGCGAAGCCACATAGACGCATTCTGACTCCATCCCTCCACCAAAGTCTCCCTCAAACATAGATAGATCAGACCAGAAGCCGTCCACATGGCATCTTCTACTGCAGAGGGGTGCGACACCGCCGCAATATGCGCTACCATCGAAGATTCTTGAGCAGCAGTGTAATAGGTGCCATCTCCAGTGTTAGCTAAAGAAGGACTCGTTGAGACAGTGACGAGCGACTCCAGAGCGTGGAGGAAGAAGATGGTATGTACGTTGCTGTTCTCGGTGTTGTGCAAAGTGACAATATTCTGTGTTAGAAAGGACAGTGGGAAGAGCGGGATGAGAGCATGGACCACTGCGATTGTGTTTTGGTTCAGCATACTATCCAAGCCATTGTCGGGTAACGTCGAATCGGAAGCACCGGGCGGAAATGCGCTGATATCATTGGACAAAAAGGATAGTGCATCCTCAGCCAGAGAGGATGGAAATGGCTCAGCACCATGGGCGTAAGAGGGCTCTGGTTGCTGCAGGGGGTGTTGATCTGATATCTCAATATCTAAGGGGAGAGAGCCCGAGGACGACGTCGATAGCAAAGGACTCGACTCGGACGTAGTGGCGAATACAACTGTATGGTTTGGGTGAGAAACAATAGATGCAGCTACTGAGACACGTTTCATAGACGAACAAAAGCCTGAGGGACTGACCCGAAGCCAAAGACGACGAAGCAACAGGCGAACTAAAGGGCACGCCTCCAAGATCGCCAGCCCCCTGCAGTTCGGCTGCTCGTGTGGTAACCTCGGACGCACTGGGTCCCCAACTTTGCTCGAAGTCGCCCTCGTCTTCCTCTTGCACCCTTCTCCGTTTAAATCCCTTCCGAGGGCCTGACTTCTTGCGCCCCTCGGCATATGCACAGTCGATCTTGTAGAGTAAACAGTTGCTGCACGACGGCATTTTCGAATTGCATCTGAGCTTCCGCTGTCGACAAGAGTTGCACGCAATTGTCGCTTTGCGTGTATTGGGCTTCTCTGTTGTGATCACAGTCGGCATGTCTGTATGGTTGGCAGTTCGAACAGATATAACAGTACACCCGTGACTTGAAGCCTTCAAAACCTGACCGTGCTGAGAGTTGCTTGAATAATGTGCGTAGCCTCGTAGTATTGTGTTGTCAACGCCGGATAATATGTACTTGAAGAAGAGAGAACAGATCGGTCCAAAGTTCGGAGAGCGTGAGGCGGGTCTGAGTGGGTCTGAGTGCTCGGCTCGGCAGAACGAGATTTTCCAAAGATTCGGTGATCAAAACTGCAGATACACGCGTCACTGATACTAAGTACTTACACGTACTTTAGTACGCCTACGTAGGCAGCCTAGGCTCATAAATAGCGTCCCTACATCAAGTCAATGCCGACATCGTGCACCTCAGAGGATGTTTTTAACTATCCTTGTACTGGCAAGTCATGGTATCAACGCTACAAATTGATGCCAAGACACCTAATGTGCTACGTACTAAGTTATATGCTCTACTCAGTGCTGTCCAGATCCGAGCCACATCGCAGTAAAGCACACAACCTCCTAATCTCCGGAGAGCCCGAAACACAGTAGGATGGCCGAACTGTACACACAGGTCTACTACCTACGAATACATACCAGGGCGAAGAAAAAACGAACCAGCCAAGATCTAAACATGGTCCGATTCCGTCTTCATGGCGTCGCTTGTAAGCTGCGCGAGCTTCACGAACGCGTCCATGAGCGCAGGCACCACAAAAGGCGACGCACACTCCCGCCGCATGTCCTCGAGAATGTCTTCCGCACGGATCCGCCGCCGCCGCTCATCGAACACGGCCTCCTCCGCAGCTCGTCTTGCCTTTCGCTCATGCTGCAGATCCTTGCGCATATCTGCGAATCAAATTACAGGACATCAGCGTCGAACCTCAGCCCCCACCCAGCGCAGTGTCTACGCACCATCGATCACGTCCTGGAGCGCTGCCGTCGCCCTCTCAGCAGGTGTGGCGCCATTTGACGGCCTGGCAGCCGCGGGGTTGGTTCGTGGCTCAGATCCACCGATTGGCTTGGGCTTGCGCAGAGGCGCATCTTCACGCACTTTCGGCGCAGTGATCTGTTGCCGGACGTCCCACAGCTCTCTGGTAGCATCGGCGCCCCCACTCTTGTTCTTAACCGGAGATGATGCAGAAAAAAGCTTAGAAGCGTAGGTCGTTGAGAAAGTTGGTGTCGATGATGGTGGTGATGATGGCGGCGGCGGAAGACTCGGTGGTATAGGTTCTTTTTTTGGCACACGCAATGGAACAGAAGGGACAGGTAGTAAGACAGGACTTGTCCTCGATGGAGATGGGGTAGTTTTTGGAGGGGGAAGCAGAAACGGGGATGTTTGCTCTTCTTTTGAAATGTGAGTGGGCAGCCAAGCGGGAAGGGATTTAGGCTGCGAGATCTGATTCACTTGTGACACCGAAGAGACCGCATCAGATGATACAGGAAAAGAGATGGAAGGTCGTTTGAGTTTGGGTGAAAGTGAAAATGACGCAGGAGGCGGAGGTAGAGAACTTGATGGCTTCAGGTGTCTCAAGGCAGCAGGTGTTCGCGGAGGTGCTCGCAGATTTGCGTGCTCGAGCACAGGGGGAGAGTGTAGAGAAGACAGAGGTGGTGGAGATTGGGGTTCGCGCTTCGTCGGAGTCTATAAGAAGCGAAATGTAATAGAGGTGAGCTTCTAGCGATAAAGATGCAGCATACTTCGACATTAGGCGGCCTCATGAGGGACTGAAAAACTGCCGACTGGCTGAGTTGGCTGATTGCCTGCTGCGTGCTATCGAGCCGCAGCGCGGAGGCGTCGTATTTGACACGCTTCGGGCTAGGGCTTCTTTGCGTAAGATCTATCGTGGGCCGTTCTTCCCCAAGATTTGATTTCTACGCGATCAACAGAATTAATCAGTGGATACAGATATCAGAAGTCTCAGCCAACTACGAACCCGCATGTGTTCTGATCTACTAGGCCCAGCAAGGTCTTGCTGAGAGTATGTACGGTCCCGACTCGGCATAGCTGAAGCTAATTTTCTGGCTGTGGAGATGGACTTTTCTGTGCGATATGCACCCCCTTGCTTTCGCGTAGACGACACTTTCGTGTGGGAAAGCTGTTTGCCGCTAACGAGGCGCTAGTCAGCAAGACTACAGGCTTCAAGCTGCTTCTCACTTCTCTATTAGTTTCATCCATGATCTAGCCATCCACGAGTATCAGCCCAAGTAGCATGTAAATACAAGCTACTTACATACTTCGTGGCTCCAAATGAGGACGCGATCCAGGGCCAACTCTGAGAATAATTTGTTTATATAGTTCCTGAGAGGTGTATATGCGCGTTTTGTCCATGATTGAGTAGACCGAGAAGAGTAATACGCACGCTGTTCGTTCGTACAGACCACAGACAATGAACCTGAGCAGACTGCCATAGAAATCGTATTGTATTCGGGCGAGGAAGGCCGAGAGCATCAATATCTTCGTCGAGTGCCGCGGAGGCCTCTGGGGGAGCAGCTTCTCCGTTTTTGAGCTTCCACCTAGCTTTTGCACCTATCCACTGGAATTGCAGCGAAAGTTTGGTATCCATGCGTACGATACAAGTTGGTTTCTATGCCTTCTTGTCTGACCTCCGAGTCGTCTGGTCCCTTGGAGGGTCGCCAACGTTCACTGGGAGTAAAAGCTTGGGGACTGTGTTCCAACGAAAAGACCGCGTGATTGTCGTTGAATTTGTGTGCATGTAAGCAGAGCGAGATGCGACTTTGACGCAAGCTAGATGAGGAGGAGGCTCATAATTTCGATGTCTTCTTGAACATCCGTGGGTCTCACGCGCCGCGGTGACAGACGGGCCGGCAGCAGTCTGTCGCTGTCACTGTGACACAGATGACCAGATGCGTGATGCTCAGTCCAGTCATCGTGACTGAACCTTGGACAGAACTTGGATGGTGTCTACTCGTATACTTAGCAAGTAACGTCGCGCCGCTCCCAGTAACAACCAGGATATTCATTTTGCACCCAGGCTTTCTGAAAAGAGACCTCAAGTATATTCCAAGTGGCAGCCAGAACCGGCTAATGGAGTGATAGACTTACTTTGCGTGCGTATTCTCCCGTCAACTCACTAGGCTTTACCATCATCAGTACTATTGACAGAAATCAGAAACCATGACAAGTTAAGCCGAGGTCATAGTGTCATGATGTATTTTTGGTATTAGTTTGAGTTTGAGTTTTTGTGAGATGCGAATATGCGCCAGAAAGGATAGCTGCAATTCTTCATACAATGTTCGGGGTCAGAGGCAGGATCTACGCGTTAGTGTAAGTTTTTTTGCCAACTCAATAGCTCTTGAAGCATTCACGTCAGCAAAACATTAAATTCATTCATTATGCTCTTGTCTCCACCACGGCCCGTATTGAACATCTTTGGCGAATACTTGAAATGCAACATTGAACATTGCGAGTCGTGTCTAGAGTTAATATGCATCCGATCAGAGCACAGCGGCATTTGACCCTTCATCTTGCTGACGTGCTTATGAGGAGCACACGGTACGTCTTCAGTCCAGTTGCTCTCGCCATCGAGGAGGTGGATACTATATTGACTGCTCCGGAAGACTGTAGGTTCACCTACTATATCTTAATCGAAACTCGCCTCCGCTCATCAAGGACCTGGATCTTGGAAGGCGACCACCGCAGGACGTAGTTATCGTGGTATGACTTGGGTCCTGGCGGTGGCTGGTTCAGGTAGAGTAAAATCCCATCCTTTGATGCAGTTATAGCAGGTAAGTCAGCCGTGCGCAATTTGTCTTTATGACAATTGTTGAAGAGACAAGCCCTCAATAATATTCGTTATCGCAGGTTAAATCGAGCGGTATGGGTGACGTACGAACCTGTGTGGCTTGCTGTCTAGACAATTTCCTTGGGAAGAATTGTCAAGTCAGAATGCAGGCAGTGGGAGAATGCAATCACCGTACCCTGCCAATCACATCAAGCATCACCCAACGCGATGGGCCTCTTCTCTTGTGGTACGGACTTGTGTGCCATTCGACGACATAAAGCATATCACGTATGTCTCTATCTTCTACGAGAATAGCTATCGTGCACGCCTATTCATTGGATTCATCCAGTTCGTATGAGCACGCGAGTCCATTGTCGAGCACGAAGGTAGAAAACAAAAGAAGCCACACTTCCGCAACCCCGACGCGGTCACGGGATCACAATGTAAACTGGACCGCGACGCGTCGCAGTCGCGCCGTGGCTAGTGAAGGTGATTATATAATTTCAACTCTCCACAATCCTGCTATAAATTCGCTGTGATATCTGTCTTTGACTGTCTACACACCACATTTATTGCCACCATTCACTATCAAACCCACTTCCCCATTGTTCCCTCGACCACTACATTCTTCTGACTGTTCTATTATTGTACTGTGCAATGATTACCTCCCCACAGCTGAACGTGTATGTATCCCATCGTGAACCGAATTGCTTTGTTGACGCTTGAACCTTTATGCACAGTATTTATAGCCCTCTTAACTCCATGTCCACCCCGACCACAAGTCTGAGCCAAACACCCTCTCCTAACGTCCAAGCTGGCTTCAGAAAGGCGGGCATGCCGGCGCACCCCCCTATTCCTGGGACCTCCAGCTCTGCCCATCGGCCCAGCAAACGGAATCGTGATGAAGATGAGGAAGCAGTCGTATCGTCGTTCCGGACAGGAAGCAAACGGACGAAGACCTCCACGGGCCTTCCAAGGTGGCCTTCATCTACCACCAACTCCTCGGCCAAGCAGGTGATTACAGATCCGGACGAGTGGCTTGAGGCTTTACAGTTGCCCAACACGCCCTTTACATGCAAACTCGAAGGGGCCAACAACCACGAACTCTGTAGCGGTATTATCCCTGGCACGATCATGGGGGTGCGCGATCATGTTCGTGGTTGCGCCTCAGGCTCGTCGGTCAAGCGGGATGGCAAAGCCAACAGCAAAAGCAGCACGAAAGGGAAAGCGAGAAAAGTAACGAAAAAGAAGGAGGAAATCGTATGCCACTGGATGCTGGACGACAGAACGCGCTGTTCCTGCACAGTTTCGACCGTCCACGAATATGGACGGCACATTTTTACGAAACATGGTCCAGGGGCTGAGTATATGCTGAGATGTAAAGCATGCGGGTGGACAAAGAATGGACGGAAGGACGAAGGCGCTCGCCATGTGAGGACTTTCTGTAAGGCCTTCAAGTCAGACCCTGGGGCTTCGGAATTGAAGTCGTCCTCTGCATCAGTCAACTGCACGCAATCACAGTCATCTTCCATGTCCTCGTTCTCACCACCCACAGGCTCCGACCAGCAATGGTCAAGGAGTCCATCCTTGGTTCACTCCCCGCGTTCGGTATCATCGAGCGAGTTGGTCTCAACGCCGGATACAAACATGTCCCCTCTCCCATTACCTGTGGTATGGGATTCTTCCTTGCCATCGTTCCCTTCTTCCTCACGGTGGCTAGATCTAATGATCCAAAACAATCGAACAGGGATTTAGACTAATATGGCATACGTCCGGCCAATCAGGCGACCTCCGACGTCTCTGGTGTTTCAATCACTCGAGAGCATTTCTTTCAAGTTTAGCACTCGCGGTGTCGATGATCTTTCAAACAACGCTTGCCAATAGACAAGATACCCAAGCCTTATGCGTAATACCCGTCCAATAGTTGGCCTCACCTTCTGTATTGCAAAGCTCTCACTGCTCATACGTAGTCTAGTTATCACGTAGCATCTCGTGCTATCTTACTCTGTTGTTCAACTGTATCTCGCTTCCTCTACAAATTTCTATTGAAACAGACTGCCTGCTATGTTCCTCATTTCTATGGGAAGCTTTGTATGACGGCGGGTGCAGCACATGTCTTCCGAAGGACGCGCTTCATCGTAACTTACAGTCCGAACATCGGTTGCTAAGCCCGAATGTCGAACGTGAATGCTATTACCAAGGCCAGCCTGTGACTGTAATCTAGTATAAAGGTTCCAAAGGTCGGTGCCGACATCGAAGCTCCCTTTGTGATTCAACTTCTGATAAATGTGGATGAGCGGCAAACTTGATCAGTATATTTTATATATCTGGTAATATTACTGTCGTGACACTGGCAGCATGGTTTCATGGTTTCGACGCCTGCCACGGATACACCCTATAGTGGAGGCAGCAAGAAAATAGAGCGATTATTATATACTATATGCGTAGGTACAATACTACATCGACTCGTCAACGAAAGGCTATGGAACAGGGAAATTGATATCGATATCGCCTTTCTCCACACACGTCACGTCAAGCCGGATGCTCCGAAACTGATGCCAATAAGGAGGGTAAATCCTTCAGATCTTGAAATTCAACTTTGCAAACACCCTCCTTAATCCTGGGTCCTCGATGGATGTTTGGCACTGTCTCTGAGTCGCATACGTGGACCAAGTGTGTCAACGTATCCCAGGAGAACATAGAGACTGATTGTAGGGCATCGGAAACCCCATACCAATTTTGCACATCGAACCTGAAGGCATATTTAAACACAATATATGTATTGCGCTATCCAACGCATGTAAACGGGAATCGTACCTGACATACGAGGGAAAACGACGAGGGTTGACCTTCTGCTTTGAAAATATTGATACAATTACCTCTCTAAATTTGCTGTCCGGTAAATTGTAACCAACTGCAAGGGTTATCAGCTAAACGGGCGCCTTTCGAGTACTGAATCAAACCAACGAAGTGCAAGCAGTGTATAGCTGCATATAACGCGTCAGGTATTCGTCTCAAGAATAAGTGGCACATTGATACTCACATATGTGGCACAAAATGGATGCCGGAATGATCAGAGCGAAGCGGGACACCATTGAGGAGCAGATGAGCTGAAAATGGCCTTAGCTATGGTTCGACGCGTAGATGGACATGTCAAACCACATTCTTGTCCTGACAAAAGGGTCTGGAGTAATTTGCGCGCCGAAGTGAAAAATATGAGCAGTGAAATGTCGTATGCAGGAATAACATAAGAATCTCCACTGGTTTTCCAGAGAAGGAGCGCTCTCTGGAAATGAGTAACATCATGAAATGGCTGCCCCTGACGAAGAGGGTAGGCAAAGATGAAAGATAAGCTAAGATATTCAAAGACGTCATATAACGTCTCGAGATCAACAGGAAGCTCGTGGTCCATGACGTGGCTTTTGGGAATTGGTGGATGTTGGCATGAGTCTCAATATCACAATATAGGCTCAGGTAACTTACGTGACGTATAAAACTCCTAGAGGGGTCGTCGCAACTCCGCCAGCCTTTAGAGTATGCATGATAGGAGTAGTGACATGAACGTTATCCAGGTCCCACCTCTCTAGTATTCGTTCGACATGGAACTTTGCGGAGACGCCACGTTGATCGAAATCATTCTCGAGACCCTTTTGACACAGAACAAACCTTAAAGACGCCACCTCCGCAAGCGTCAGCCAAGTAGCAGTGCTCGCGGTTGATCTGCTCCGCCACACGCTCATATCTGGGCACGACTCCAGCAAAGTCTTGAACCAGCTTTCAATCACTGGAATAGCGCCCTCCAGCTCTGGTATGCGTCCTGCTTGAAACACAGGCAAAGTCACTGTGTGTGTGAATAGGAAGGAGGGTATGACAGCGTGATATAAGTGATCGAGTAACTTCCTATTGATCTAAGTGAGCATACACTACACTCGACGATAGTCCTCCAGTGAGCACGTCACCTTTTTTCTGCCATCAACTCCATAGCACGTACTCCAGGGATTAGACAATATCTTTGAAACAGGGCGATGCGGAGAACGTAGAACTGGATGCGGTAATGATAGGAAATAGAATCAAGTGGACCCAGCAAGTCGTTCGCTGGTCCAGTGCAATTCAGAATACAGTCTTGAGAGATCGAGTAAGAGGTCCATAACGAGGGCCGTTGCATCTGCCAGAACACTCCTTCATGAAGGAAATATTGTCGCACATGTTCGCGAAGAGCCTTTGTCAAAAGGCTCGCCAAGCACGAACGGGAAATCGAGAGCACTTTGGGATAGCGTGAAACTTTGTCTAAGCGAATGTCGTTGCGAATAGACGCTTGATGCAGAAAGGATCCCGTGAATATCGTGAAATTCCCTTTCTCAAAGGATTGAATAGCAAAAAGACGTCGATATTTGTTGTCATTGCAGTACTTCCCAGCATCAGCAGCAATTGTGGTGACCTTGATAACCAGATGATCAAGGAGTCGCAGATCATCGAGCGATTTTTCTAGACTACTCGCCGAGTGGAATGAATCCCCAAAGAAACAGCTAAGAGCCAGTATGGCAGAGGGAATTAGGTTCTGCGCAAGGAATTCGCAGGCGAGGATTCGTAAACGCTCGATGTCGCCAGAAGTGATAGCGAGAAACATGTCGATCTACAGCGACATGGTAAGCACATGGTAAGCACAGACCATCCTGAGCCACTTCGCGAGACAGACCTGATCTTTGGTTCCTATAGTCAACTTCGGCTCACGGAGCAGCATTTCTGCCGCATCTACGAGATCTGAAAGTTGAGATTTATCGTGTCGCCACTTGCCCGACGCCCTATAGCGCAGCTCGACATTCTTGTCGAATATTGGTGGAGTACCAAAGGACACGTTCAGCCAAAAAATGTCGACAAGACAAGAACTGGCTTGCGCAATGTCGCCCGCGCGGTGAAGAAGCGTGATTGCTTTTATGACGTCGCCATCAGTGAGACGATCGAAAGCGGCTTCTGAGAAACGGCCCAGTTCTTCGAAAAGATTAGAGCGCTGTAACATAAGATCGTGTTCCTTCATGAATTCGAGCGCCTTCTCGATGGGAGAAAATAACGCGATCGCAGTTCTATTTTTCCAACCAATGTTAGAATGATTATAGAAGGGAAGCACAGTGACGGGGAGACTAACTTGTCTTCAGATTTCTGGAAGAAATGCAGCGCAACGTCTCGTAACACGTCTTCAGCTACTTCATGATCTTGAATGATTCTGGCAGCTCTCATAAACCGACCCAGTTTGCAGTAGCACCGCGCGCACTCCGAAAACTCCTGCGACCGTTCATAGCATTCGGCCGCTTTCTCAAGGTTTGAGTTCCCGCTTAGGCTGTAACACAATCCTGCACTTTTGAAGTACTCGTGGATCTCGCTCTCAGACCTCAGGCTACTCCTGGCGGCCAAGGCAGATTTTCTGAAAGCCTCTGCGGCAACAGTAAAGGCCTGCGATCTATTCGGCCCTCTCTCCTGAGCTTCTACGGGAGTTTCGAAAGCTTTCTCGCGCAGAAGGAATGCCTCTGCAACATCGCGCTCTCTGTGGCAGGATGCACGCATGTAGCAATGCATGGCATGTTCGTAACGCTCGTTGACAAAATGGTCGAGACCTGCGGTAGCCCATTCCTCGATGGTGGAAGCTGTCGCAAGGCGAGGAAGTTCTCTATCGGCAGACCAAACGCGAATGAGATCTTTCGAGGACCAAAGTAGCTACGCAAATATGTAAATAAGAATCTGATAAAGCGGCAAATCTGATACTAACCTGAACAGGATAAGCTTTGTCCGAAGAATCAATAATCCACAAGTTCTTCCGTGCTCTTGTAAGTGCAACATATAAACATTTCAGCTAATGCAAAGTGGTAAGATCCAATTAGAGTTTTATTTAGTCAAAACCCGAATCTAGGACTTACATCATGGCATATTATATTATGATGGATTGGATCGAAATGCGGGACCGGATGGTCCAAAGCAATAGACTTTCTGCATGCATTCAGCACTATCTGCCACTGCGTGGCATCTGCAGAAGAGTCCTGGAAGAAATTAAACAAAAGGACCTATCCAGCAGTTATAACGTCAATCTCTGAATTAAGCAGCGCATTCCAAAATGACTGACATCATCAAACTCTTGTCCCTTGCTGTCATAGATTGTGCTGGGGGTGAATGTCAGTACCTCAAACACCGACAAATAACGGGAACTCACAAGACTAATGCCATACTCCCCATCTGACTCTGTAGTCGTTGCCGAGCATCTTCGTCTCTGACCAAAATACCTATGTTTTTTTGTTAGTTTAGTATGAATGCTACAATCCATGCACTGACATTGCTTCGCCCCAAAATCTACCAATTCCTTGCTACAGAAGATCTCAGTGATGACAAATAAGTCAGTGGCAGAAAAATCCACTCACGTATCTCCAAATAAGAGCTTCCGAAACTTCTCATAATCTTCATTCCAGTCGTTAAAGTAAATGGGCCTTGGCCCGTCCATCAAGCCTCTCTCGGCCGACAGCTTATCAATGCTATTTGGCCAAAAAGAAGTCAGAAGCTCAACAACACTCTGAGCGCAGTTCACAATTCCTGCATGCGAGCGGTAATTGACACCCAGATGAAAGAGCTGCGGCGTCGTCTTCTGCACACCTGGAGATATGATATCCTGAGAAAGGAAATAGTTCAGCCGAAGCACAGGATGGTTCTCAAGCCAAGAGATACCTCGATTCGATACATAAAAGCTTTCAGCTCATTGAATCTAAAAGCGCTTCCTGCTGAGATAGTTTGGGCAGTATCGCCCGCCCAGAATAGGCCATCTGAGTTGTTGCAGAGCAATCTTAAGACTGGAAAGAAGGCATGTGAGAAAAAAGTATCCCTTAGAACTTAGGTGAAATCTTACCCAAGAGATCCTTCATAAGGTTATCCTGCGCCTCGTCCACATACCTATCCAATAAAAAATGAATATATCTCAAACAAAATAAAATGAGGGTACCCAACAGGAAGTTTACCGCGTGCCCGCCGGGCACACCACCCCTCTCCACCTTCCGCAGCTCCGTCAATATTGCGTTGGTTCTAGCCGGTATTAGAGTCGCCGATATTGAAGAATAAAGACATAGATACCTGTCTGCATGGTCATATTCCCCGCGGGCTCGTTTTATCTTCGAATAATTCTGGAATAGTTGATATACGGCATCGTTCTGGTCCGACAAAGCATTCTGCGAACGGCGCATTTTTACTCGATCATAATCTTGCTCATCCAAATAGCCCCGTAGAGCCATGCACGCCTCTTCGGACCCCTTGATAACACCTATTCCAAGTTCAAATGAAGAGAATAACATAGTATAGGTATAACTAAGCATACCTAAGATCTGCTCAAATACATACATTGGCTCTGTAATCGCTCGCATAAGTGGCAGACCCTATACCAATACGAGACGGCACATACCTAGTTTCTTCCTGAGCGACAGCGGCATACATGGCCAGTAGAGTGCCTTGAATGTTTTGAAAGAAATGGGCTCTCCTTGCAACTGATGGAGTTCAGGAATCAAAAGAGGCACGTCCAGAGTACAAGGATACTTACTGAAGATACAGCCGAGGTGTCTCCGGGCCTCGCTGGTTCACGTAAGTCTCTTGCCAACATAGTGAAAAGCTGGAAAAAGACAGATTAGGATACCAAGATAAACTGATACAAAAAATCCATACGTACCTGGTCGAATGTTGTGAACAATGGAAAGTGCTCGTCCTGTAGTTCAGACCACTTCAAAGGCAGCTTACTTCGCGCTCCGTTGGCAACTGGACTCGCCGCCCCTACGGGATGTGGGTTGCTTGCAGAGTGCGCGACTTGCAGTTGGGCAAAGTACTCCGCAACTTTTTTCGCAAGCACGGGCGACTTCGTGATAAACATCTGTCGTGGTTTCTGCATCGCACCACCGTGTGTGCTCCATAGCCACTCTATGCGGAGCATTTTGAAGAGGATGACCGTCGTCTTCCTGTTCCAAGTTCTAAGATATGTGTTACACGAAAACCAGTGCGAAAAACGAACCCGGTACCACTTCGTCCTATGACATAACATGAAGATGGATGCTCAATAATGTTCATCTCGTGGTGTCTAATTATACCTTTCACATGAATGGCATCATGGAAAAGAGGAGGGATCACGCACGATACTTGGAACGTGAGGGACAGCTCAATATCTGCCATTATGCCTGAAATTTGCCGACATTTATGAGACGAGATTCAGTTCAGCCGGAAGGAGACTCTCACCGTCCATCAAGGTCTAAGGCAATGCGGGATTTGATTCATCAATGTAGAATCCCCTGACAATGTGACACACGAACCTGGGAAAACGGATAAAACTTATTCAAGCTGAGATTGCCACTTGTCAGCAAAATGCTTCGGGCGGGGAAACAGTCACGTACGCAAGTATGTTCTGGAGCTAAAATGAAGATTTAGTCAATGTGACTGGATGCACCTAACAAATGCGCACCTCTCCTAAATCCTCGTGATGAAGAGTTGGCAAAGTAAGAGTTTGTTGATCCTCCGATGGAGGTGGTAAGGGAAACTGAGCTGGAAGGACGATTCCATTCGTAGGCTCGCTGCGATAGTCGCATCTAAGACCGTATGTCAATGGATGCCCCACAAAAATGAACTGTTGCAAACCGTTGTTTATACGCCTTCCCCCTTCCTCCTAGAGAGTAGCCAACACTAGCCCAGATGCCCCCTTTCATATCAGCGAGCGAGACGACGCCGAAAATCCTAAGAGCTTCGCAGTGCATCAGCCGCACACTGCTAACCACAAAAAGGAACTGCAAACCTTGTATGTCGACCTATAAGTCGGGATGAATCAACCTGCTCGACGTGAAGGTATGAAGGTTGCTCACCATTTTTTCATAATCCGCGATACAATCTACTTGATACTGCACGCGCGTGAATCCAACAACGGTGCATGGAAAGGCTCAGTTCGGACTTACAATGAGACGCGCATCTCCTGTTAATTTCGCGCGGTAGATGGGAATATCTCCGTGACCGACGTGGCTGAGTCGCTTGTGGTTATCGCTAGTCCAGTAGGTAGGACCGCGAGACAGCTCTCTGAAACAAAAGACGTAGTTACATCAGTTTGAGCATGAACAAAGCAAGACCACATACTGTATCTTCTTCACAGCGATCTCGAAGAGCTGAGGCTGCCGCTTATATTTCTGTCGAAGATCTGTCGCGGCTGGCTTGGAAATAAGGATTGGCCATTCACCGAATCCTTCCGCGTTTTGAATGTCGAATAAACTGGCATACGCCCTCTGTAGCGTAGTGGGACCACTAAATGAGGTACTAGTCTCGGACAGTTGCACAGAACTCTCTTCTGTTCTATGCGCTGCCACAGCATCCGACCCAGCGACGGATGATCCAGCTGGAATATAGTGTCTTCGATACACCTCGCGCAAACTTGGCGATCGGAGTACGCGAAAGTACCCCTACATAGCCCATGTGTCAGACACGGATTGAGTAACGATTAACGTACATAGACTTACCTCCAATGTGCGCTTCAACTGCGCCAAAATCGTTAAGCCAAGTGCCTCCGCTCCCGACCGAGATTGGGGAACGGGGACACCGAGCGCAGCGAACGGACTTGAGCTTGTAAAGTGTATACGAGCTTCTCTCTTCTTTGCCTTCGACGAAAGTCCAGCTGTGCGACCAGTGGGGCCTGCAGGCTCACTGGACAGAACTTCCTTAAGCGCCTCGAGGGCGCGGAGTGACTTGTGCGTAGTCTGTCGGTAGCCATCCATCTTGTCTGATGGCGACTCTGACAGAAAATAGTGATACACTGCAAACCGATTCAGTAAGCTTGATGCCAATGAAGAATCAAACTCCATTGGATCCTCTGGGAAGCTATCCATGTCCAATAGACGCTGCGTAATTGTGGCAGATGCCTTATCACTAACAGCTGCAGTGATTGTCTGAGATTGACCGCTAAATGAACCACGACGATCTCACCAGAGAGGACGAATTCTATGAGATTCCGGACAGGCAGCATCTCCCGGACGGCTCGTCCAACGTCCGCCGCTGGATGGACGAGGTAGGCCTCGAAATCACCAATGGCGATTTCGACTGCCACCTGGTCTGTCATCAGCGTGGCGTCGAACTTATTGACATTGAATATAGGATTTTTGCTCTTTTTCGACACGTTGGAGGCCTTGTGGGATGAGGCCTTCATGGTGGAATGTGCGAAAGATGGTGAGAGGGAGGAACAAGAAAAAATCTCACATATCTGTGCACCTTTCCGCAGCTCTAAGGTTTAGCTTTCGCCTCGTGCGCCGTGTATCTATCCCAGAACAGAAGGCCGGAGGGCCGCCAGCTCGGCAGCGGTCAGTCGTCAGCTTGACCGAGAAGCCTTGCCTGCTGTTGAACATTGAACTGTCAAGCTACCGAACAGCTGCTCGATCTGCATTTCCAGCGCATGCATTTGTAGCAATTGGTAGCAACTTGAAGCTGGTCAGTAAGTTCTGACTGCCTTCAGGCTGCGCCACACTGAAGTAAATTGGGTTTGGCGTTCCAGCAGCGTCACTTTCCGCGACTCAAACGATCACAAGTAGAGTTACATCTGAAGTACACGGACAACCTAGTCCACACATGCACACTAGAATGTTGCATGAGACTGAACTAGATGGTCCGTAATCAACGCTATACACCAGTCAACACGCAGAACCGTCTCAATACAACACACACCTCCAACCGCCGATTAATCACACCAGGCCGGATGAAGACCATTCGAGAGTCAAAATACACGAATAACGGTCAGGATGCATAATGATAGCATAACGTCATGACCTGAGAGCATGCTGTACCATACATTTTGCGCGGTGGTGGTGATGATATGAAACACGTCATGACAGGAATACGAACGAACGGAAGCTAGACCAACTGCTCTGCGCACCGTACTCAGCGCCCGCCCTTGCCACCTTTCATCTGCTGCTTTGATACTCGTGGCCCGCTCGCCACTGGTGCGCGCCCCGCCGGCTGCATAGCACAAGCACGCGCACAGGCCGCCGATGCAGTACTCAGCCACTGCACGACGGTGCACGGAATACGCAGGACGCACCTTTGCCTTCTCCTTCTTGCTCTCCTTGTCTTTCTTCTCCGACTTCGCCTTCTGGATGGCAGCGGTGCGTGCGGCAGCGCGGACCTGGGCGGTCTGGTTGCGGCGTGCGGCGATAGCAGCGAGGTCGGCGCCGACGATACCGCGCTGGTGCTTCACGGTGCGGCGCGAGCGCTTCTTCGCGACCTCCTCTGTGATACCCTTCTTGTGCTGCCGGCGATATACCTGCGTCCATGCGATCTTACGGGGATTCTTGCGTTGCAGGAAGAGCGACTCATTCTTCGAGGTGGAAAAGCGGAAGACCTGCATATAGCAGTCAGCGTGCGCGCGAGATAATAGGAGCCAAAGGATGCACTTTGTTGTCCCCCCGGACGAAGAGCCGGCCTTTGCTGGGGTAGATTCGGAAACCGGAGAACGAGTCGATCTCGACTTTCTGCACTCAGCGGGACGGTAAGTACATGCTGTGGTACAAACGGGTGGAAACGTACCATCTGAACGAGGTTAAATACACGGAGTAATGAGGGTCAGCGAAGAAATCCGATAGAGAAAGCATGCCGGAGAATGGGACAGGCGTCATCTGTGGCTTGCTCCTGCCATCCATCCCTCCTGGTGCCATCGACCGGTCCTTCCACCGCACATTTTAAAGCACCTCGCATTTGCAACCCATCCAGCCTGTCCCGCTCGAAATAGCAGCATAGATTCGGGCTCACCTTGAGGATTTGCCGGGTGTGTTGTGCGACGGCGAGCAACGCGCGCCTCCCAGCTGCGTCCCATGCGCCAAATATTTGTCCTGTGGCGCACAAGCTCAACGCGCGACCTAGGCGCACGCAGCCCAAGTGTTCCCGCCTGCAAATGTACTTACTTATTCGCCTTACAGCACATACACCGCTTGTGTCGCGCCAATCACCAATCATGACGGATTGTATCAGCCACCCCTCCTGCGTTTCTGTCAGAACGGTCTATCGGTATGCCTGGTAGAATTTCTCAACCCGGACTGATTCAAAGACTCTCGCCCATATTCTGCCGAGCACAGGCGCAGGCTCAGGGTCCCCGTTGCCCACCGCGTTGGCAACGCACGAAAATTTTCAGCCCGCTTGCTTCCAGCTGCCACTCCAGGCTCCCCATGCCCTAATACCGGCCTGCGAAGGTCGACCTGGAGCGAGTGCGCGACGCGTGCCCGGGCTCCCCGTCCAGCTCGCATTTCCATCAGGCATCCGGGGAAGCTCTGCGTATGAAATAGTACGAGATTTTGCGCAATCTGGCCCCGAGCGCGGCGAGCCATGGCGACACGGCTCTTCTGCATCGGAGGGATCCCACGTCGTGCGCTGGAGCGGAGTCATTTCCGCGACGAGGATCAGACCGCGCACAGCGTGCCCTGTCCGAGTCGGGGCGTCCCCTTGTACTCTGCTCCCTCGCCCACTTCTTTTCGACGCCCGCCCGCGGGTGGGGCCGCCGCGGTATCATGATATCGCGTATCAACACTGGTCCCTCTCGCAGTCTGCCATCTGCTCTGGCTCGGCGCGGGCGAAGCCCCAGGCCCCCCCCCTGGAAGTTGCGGACTGGTCGGAACTGTCGACGGGCGAAGTCACCCCTGCGTTCTAGCCTTAAGTGAAGTTTTGCAGAATTCGGAAGCTGCTCCTGGAGCTCTGCAGCCCCGCGCCGATGCCATGCCTTGGAGCCTGCCAGTGGCGAGCGCAGCGAAGGATTCATTTCGCCCAAGGCGCGCGGCGCGACTGAAACTGATGCCTGGAAAGTGTCCTAGTGCATTCATTCATGCGACTTCCTGCTAAGCTGTAAAGGTTCTGACGCATTATCAGAGTGACTACGGTGCGTCCCGCATGATGACCTAGTCCAGATTAGCTCAGTGACGGGATATCTGAATGATGCTTCTTCAGATTCGGCGGGCGGTGGCCCTCGCGAACTGAATGCAATTCCGCGCGCCCACGTTGGTGGCTCGGCATGGGACCTGACACTAAGCACTCGCGCGCTGGACTAAAACGGTGGCGCCTGCGCACTTCTCTATGAGGTATGCCTGCACCGGGATTGCAGGACGCCACGACGGTGGGGCTTTGTCGGTGATGGGCCGGGGACGCCTGACAGATCCGTCTTGGAACAGCGTACGGGTCGAATACGCGATCTTCTTCTCCCCAGGCTGTCATCTTCTGTGTTCTGTCTTCTGTGTTTCCCGGGTTCTGTGGTCTATGTTTCGGCTTCCGTGTTCTGGTTTTGTGTTCTGTTCTCTGGTTCGCCAGATGACACCCGTACGCGTGGCGGGACCCGAATATGCCCATCTTGAGACCGTACAACGGATCCGGGTCTCCGAGAGTTGAGAAAGCGACAGTGCTCGTATTACCTCAGGCGAGCCGTCTGTCTCATTCGTCCAAATTCACCTATTTTTTTCGGCTTGGATGTCGGTCGAACGTCGTTTTTTTGTGTTGAGCTTCCGCTCCTACTAATGGGTAGATTGTATGAACAGTAGACCCGGTTCTCGAATCGCACAAAACGACAGAGCACTCGTCGCCACAATGACAATTTCTTCAGCCCTGTCCGACGTTAGATGGCACCATTCTTGCTCCGGTATGTTTTTCTCAACGGCGGAATATCAATTTTGAGATTGCTGTAAGCGCTTTATGTGATAAGAATTCCAAGACCGGCTTGCCGCCTTCCAGGAGCACGGGAACCGTGATATATAAGCTGCTATATTTGGTACGTCCTGTATTTCCGTTGCTCAGGCTGGTCCGGGTGGCGTAAGCTCCCATACGCCACCCGAGCTAACCAGGTTGCACCAAATGTAACGGGCATGTATACTCCCAAGGACCTTACATGTGATGGCCAGCACTAGTACATTCCGGTTACATCGATAGGCCCACGAGAGGCGTGCATTGTCGGATTGCAGCGGAGCCTCTATTACATAACACGGCTATTGCCCACCCCTCGAGGGTATTTGCGCTGCAAGCATAAGGACATATTTCCGGTGGAAATACTGCGACAATGCCTAAGAATATTTAAAAACAATTGGGTTAAATCATAAAATACTTGAAATAGCCTCCAAAACTACCGAAAATCTGCAAAATTAAGTGCCAAACTCTAGAAAATCATGATGAAATTTCAATGTTGATATCCTTAAAGTTATTCCACAGAATTCTAGGTGGAGATATTTTGCTACGCTTGTAAGTGATATGAACTGTGACTAGGGTGGCTGACGTTAGTTGATGCCAATTCTGGGCGGCCACATGTTACCAAAGAAGGTATACTGTACATTCAAAGCTCCGACTGGAATCCTGCCTACGTGGGCTTTCGGCCAGAGGTCTGTTGATGTGAATGTAAATAGCTGTAAGCACTTGCATAGTCTATACATAGCGGGGCGCCTGGACGCCGCGAAATTTGCAATGAATGGAGTGGCGCGGTGGCTGGACCAACATTTATGCCGGGACCAATGGCGCGCAGGCGGCGATGGGGCGATGACCAGCGCAAGACGTAAATCGCTATCTCGCAGGGCCTGCTCGACCGTTCGGACGTTCGGACTCGGGGCGGGCACCCCCCTGGAGGCGTCATAAGCCAGTGCTTCCCCGCGCAGATCCTGGGGCGGCGAAGATTGCATCCTGGATAATATGACCGCTATGCGTTAGTTCTAGAGGCGCCAAGGACTTGCACCATTCCGGGAGGCGAAGATTTAATTTAGGTTTTGCTGGGCAGCGAGGATCCTGGCACGAGAGCGGAGTCGGAACTGCGTTGAATGAATTGAATGGTTCAATAATGATTAATGGGGGGGGATGACGCGCACAGCCTGCGTAAGAATCCATCTGCAAGCCTGCACAGCTGCAGGGACGGTTGACGTTCATATTGCGGACCTGGACCTGAACGCACTGGGAGGCGAGGGCGGGCTGTGGATGTTACGAAAACGGAGCGAGACTGATCCAGGATATCTGGTTCGGGGCAGAGTCTAGCTGACGTCTCTAAATTACTCTAGATTCAAAGAGCGGGGCAGAAGGTTATCTGAGTGATATGATCAGCGCGCGCCCAAGGATGTTGGCATCGTCGGGAGGTGTGATAATCGCAAAGATGTCGTCTGTACGCAGCTACCAGGATCCCACCATTTTCCATTGTGGGTGCAAGAGATAAAAGAGATATTTATACTTTGCACACCGCAGCCTGTGTGTGTAGTATGGAGAGGACACAAAAGCGACTTGACAGGGCGCGGGATTGACAATAAGCGCAGCGGCATAGGAGCTGCGTAGACCCAGTGTTGAAGATCACAGGCTCAGGAACACCGGGATGCGCCCACAAAGGTGCTCCGCCGAGGAGAGGGTGGTGGCAACGCAAGGGCCGAGGAGGGGTGGGAGGGGGTTACGACAAGGCACGCAGGAGGCGACGCAGGCTGAATGGGTCCCAAGCGGTGCAGAACGTCCATCTGAAGGAGGGCGAAGCGAGGACTTCTCGCCCGTTCTGGAGCTGCGCGGGAGGCGGCGAGCGGACAGCGGGGGGGAGCGCCGGGCGGCCAATCGGACGGCGCCGGCGATACCCTGGGTCACGCACACAGAACCCTGGCGCCATCCCGATATGGCCAGTCCGCCTCAACGGAGCGGCGCCGGGCGACGATGGAAGCCACAGACGAAGACGAAGACGAGCGTTGCCATGCTTCGCCCATTTTGACGTCTCCTTTCTGCTGGCACCGCCGCTTTCTTTATAACCCCACCCTCCTCGTCCCCTGTCCCCCCACTCCGCTGTCCTCCCGCGTCTCGTCTCAGCCCCGCGGCCTCCAGCGCATAGCCTCCTCGCTATAACCATCTCTTTCCTCGCGTCCACTCCTCGGCCAGCGCACTACCTTTGCCTTTAGCCTTTGTCGCACCCTCGATTTGTCTCTCACAAGGTACGTACTCACTCGCCTCTTCATCGCCCTTCTCTCACGCGAATCTGACGTACATGACACCAATTATGCAGTGCGACAATTCCAATCACCTGTCCAACCGCCATATATCTCCACGGCCGACCACTCCTCACAGCCCACCTCACCCATCTACACCTACACCTACACCTCTCTCACGCAACGATGCCGGCGACGCTCTCTTCCTTCCCCGAGGAGCTCCTCGAGCGTATCCTCTTGCTCGTCCTCACCCCGGCCCCTCCTCCCTCGCACCCTCGCCCTACCTGGCACCAGCCGCCTCCAAGCATTCCCGGAGCTACGTCCGTCGCTCCGCTGCTCGTTTGCCGCACGTGGTTGCGTATCGCCACCCCCTTGCACTACCGTACGCCCATCTTGCGCTCCGCCCGTGCTACCGCGCATTTGGCAGCTACATTGCACGCCCACCCTGCGCTCGGCCGCTGTGTACGCGCTCTGCGCGTCGAGGGCTCGTTTGACGCTCTTCCCGACGTTGTCCGCTGGTGCCCGTTCCTCGAGGCCTTTGACATGACCGTCGACAACGGCACTGCGCCCCCTCCGTCACTCTCTCCTGCGCGTGGGCACGACGTCGTCGACGAACATGTACGCGCTTTCTGCAGCGCGTTTTCCGGCATGCGCAAGCTCCGCCATCTGGTCATCAGGAAGAACGCCTATCTGACGCAGGCCCGTCCAACGCTTGTCTTCGAGGAGTTGGGCAAGGCCATCAGGCAGTGGCGCGATCTGGTGGGTGTTTCACTGTCAGTGGTCCGCGTGCACGTGGGAGCAAACCACTTCTCGTCTTCCCCCGATCTGGTTGTCGGATTGTTGTTTTCCTTGTTCATCTCCCAGCACGCTGTTGTCCCTGTGCTTACGTCGTTCTCTCACGCAGGAAAGTGTCAACATCGATTTCCGCTTCTCGCCCTCGCCTGCCTCCGCCGCCTTTGCTGCTGCCCTTGCGGTGGCTCCCAAGCTGCGATATGTCCGTGCCGCTCTCCCTGCAGTGTGGAACACCACTCTCCTCGAGGTATGCATATGCTCCCTCGCGCTCAACGTGCCGCTCATATCCGTGCTTCTTCGTAGATCTCCGCGAACCCGGCTCTCGAGCGCATCCAGCTGACGCCCGACACGGAGCTTGTGGGTGCACACCTATTCCTCAGCGAGGCCTCCAAGCACCCGCGACTGCTTGAACTCATCCGCGCTGGTACGCCTGTCATGCGCCGTCGCGCACGCACGACAACTGCCATTCCGCTCACTGCGTCTGCCCCCCACTCGATCTCTCACGCAGGTGGTTGCCCTCCGCCCTTGCCGCGCGGGTGCGAGCGCATGGGCCAGGGCCTTCCTGTCCTTGTTGCCAGCAGCAGGGGCGAGTCATCCCGTCAGCATCAACGCCAGCATCAGACGCGCAGTGCACCAATGGGACGACGCATGAGTGCTGTCTGATGCTAGGCGACCTCACTCTGCGCACATGCCTATTCCCGTCCCTCCCTGTTCCCTGCTGCTTCAAGGCCTACAGGGTTGTATAATATTATAGGTGCATAACAGGATACCCCGCACACGCCATACCCGGGCGTGCCGCCGCATCGCGGTGTGCCGCTCATTGACTCGTACATCCGATCCTTTTACGCTCTCTCTGGACTTTTGGTGCGTTAATGGTATAACCGACGTGGACATTTGGTGTTTAGGACATTCTTTCACATCATTCTATTCTTCCTGTCTTTGCATTCACCGTCTTTCCTCTCACTCAAAAGAAGTGGTAATCTTATCTTCAGTGTATTTCTACATTACAATCTGCATTTCGTCCCTTTGCACCTCCTTCCTCACATTCGATATACAGCATCGTGTCAGCACGCTCGTACCATACTACTATACACATTGCACTCGGCTAGTGAGCTAGCCGGGCATGCATACCCGTAGATAATATGAATTGCTCGCCTGTGCGTACATAGCCTAATGGATATCCGGCTCAGTTGCCGCTTGCGAAAATGTAAACATGTTGGTCATCGTCTGTCCATCTGTCCTGTCAAGTTTCAATACAATACAGTTCTAGATGCTGCCTGTGTAACATTGTATACTTGGCATATGCTGATTTGAAATAGAGTGTATTGGCGACCAATATATCTTACGAAAACCTGGAGCTACTTGTGCTACCAGAAATGCACATTCTACAAATCTATTGTTACCGGAGTGGCATCTTTTCAAGCATTTTTTAATGTCCAGCTTGACATCTCAACGAGGGATATGGTCTTGCTACTAGTCTCCGCAGGCAGGGGTATGAACACTGTCCGAGACAGCTCGCGAGCTCCAGCTGAGGTGTGGAAGAGGAAAAATCTATGATGCCACCACGCAGGACGAAATGACAAGTGAGGCGAATCCTTGATACGCACTGGTACAGCAGGGCAGCCGTAAACGAGGCCATCCCGGAGCATGCTGCCTAGGCTGCTTGGCAAGGCCGGCTTGATACCCACCCCCCTGGAGGACATGATCGCGGTGGCCTTCAGCTGCCCGGCGGTAGAAGCACCCCCGTTGATTGGCAGGTGCGTCGCGATGGGTCAGTGAAATCCGGATTCCGAGCACACGCATCATGGCCTGTTGTCCGCCGATCGAGGAGCGGGACGGGAGCATTCCCGAGTCCCGCATCAGCCTGGGGGCGGCGTCTGCCACTGCCACTGCCACTGCCACTGCCACTGCCAGCTGAGTGCAGCTCAAACCTCAACCGTTCAGATTGTGATCAGCCACCCGACGCTAGCAGAGAGTGTCACGCCGTCGCGGTGATACGAATGATATATTCCACGGGTCTGGCCCCGACATCCCAGCGCCCGGCGGAGGAGTTACGGTTGCACAGTTGCTGTTACTGTACATAGTTACAGCGTGCAGTACTTACGCGAGGGTTTGCGGAGGCCCACCCACTCCTTCACGACGAAGAAATGCCCGCTTTCTGCCTGGCAGTGATACTTGGCCTGTTTCTGCGGGCGAGCCCCGTTCACAGTGTGAGTGGCACGTTCTCGACAACTCACGTAGTACTAGGCAAACGGGTTCCTTGTTGTGCTACTTGGATGTTACCGGACCGCCATCTGAAAGGTAAGTCACAGTCTTCAAAGTCCAACGCGCGGCCCTGGCTTTGGTTTGAAGTGGTCACAGGGTGTGACAGCCATGCGCGTTCGCTCACCCTCCGGCTCCTCGCGTTTTCTTTTCTCACTTCGCCATTCGTCAGCTGCACGGCCTTTGTTGTGACGGTTTGACAGAGTCTTCGAAACAAAGCAAAGAGAATGGGTCTTGGGCTGTGCCGTCCGCTTGGTGAGTACCCCTGATAATCTCTTCCATAGTATGTAGCATCCGACTCGGTAACGATTAGCAGGTGATGGGAGACCGCCAATGCCGGTTACAAAACCGAGGTCTTCGTGCTCGAACGCGTGGCATGCTCTAGAAAAGACTTGTCACACAAACGGTCGCGCTGTTCTTCAGCCATTTGGTCTTTGTGCGTCCATATATGCGGCACATGCGGTGATCGTTCTGGAAAACGGAATACGTACGTCCTGGTTCTGTTCCGGAGCACAGACCTCCACATGACCGTTCACGGGAAGCTCAATCCGGCGACCACAGCGCAGCTGACAGGGTGATAGGATGGACGTTTTTATTTGGCTGGGAGGAGGTGGGTGTTGCTACTTACGAGACTGGCCAGACGCGGGGACCAGAGCTGATGATGCGAGCTCGCATTGCAATTCGCGTAGGTCGGCCGTGGCCGCTCGTGTAGCAAACTCGGTCCCCGCAGGCTCGCTACAGAAACGGGGGGTTTGGGTTTGTTATAAGACCTACCTCGGTGGATCGGACCCCACGCGGGCGAAGCAGACGCGGAGCAAGTGCGGAGACGTCGATCTGGCCGGGATGAGGATGAGGGATGTTGAATGGGATGCGGGCCGTCCAGGAAACGTCGCGAGGTGCAACGTGAAGGACGTCGTGTACCCTGCCCCGGTCTCTACAGAATGCCGGGCCGACGAGAAGTCCCCAGCCGCGAAGAGGAGGATTGCCTTCCGGGCAGCAGCCGGGTCATCAGCGCCAGCGATTCTCTTGGGCGTGTTCGCCTCGTGCGCGAGGTCTGCGGTTCTGTTCCATTTGCCGCCTGCAGGCCGCCGGCACGGGAGGCGCCTCGAAGAGAAGAAAGGAGACGATGAGAAGGACGATAGGACAGGGCTCCGACGTGCGCGCCTGGCTTGTGCGTGCTGGTGTCCTGGTGTCCTGGGCGACAGAAGTCAGGACCGTGGCCGTGACCATCTCCGCGCCGTCGATTTGCAACTGCCTCTGGCTCTGCGAACAGGTGTCCGCCCATTCCGCACGGCGTCCCACTAGGCCCCAGATCGAGGCGGGCCCAGCAAGATCCGGCACGAACGCAGTCGACCTGCTGCAACGTGTTCGACCCGACTGGTTCCGCGAGGGTTCTATTGATACCCAACCAACATTCCATGCGGCGGGCAGATGAGATGCCCAATCAGGCGGGTGTGTCGTGCATGACGTCGTCCATGCGTGCTGCACGCCGTGTGTGAGACGGAAAAGCCCCCGGTTCTGTGGCGTACACACGGGCGGGACGATCGCGCCCGATCCCGCGCCCGTGCCGACGCGTCCCGCCCAATCCTGCGCACAGGCTCGACGGATCGGCGCGCAAAGGGCGGAGGGGCCGCACCAAGTCCCGGCGGCAGTCTACCGGGATCCTCGACGGCATCATCCGATCCATGCTTGCAATCATATCCCGCACATCGTTGTAATCGTCACTGGGTGCGACAAGTTGCGATCCCGAGTGCTGTCGAGCGCCGCGCGTCGAGCTCGCGTCGACCCTGTGGAACGGATCTGTCGAGTCAGCGCTAGTCAATCTGGACCCAGCGACAAGAATCGCTCGAGTGGGCTGCGTGCGACAGCACACCGCACTTGTCCAGAGTCTGCTCGGCGCTCAACAGTCGTTCCCGACGTGCCCTTCCAAGCTCTGCAGACATACATGACACACCCCCAGTCAATAGCACTGACCATGACAGACAGTCGCATCATTCTTCCCGGACCCGCTAGCCACCATCAGCCAGTGGCTCCCAAGGGACTTGACGCTGTGGCGCACCACGTCGTCCGCAATTCCATTCCATTCACATCCAAGCGCGCACCGCAAGAGTGGGGCAGACGAGCGAGCGCTGGTGCATGCGAATGCCTCGGGCAGACGTCGGGGAGCGCGATCCACTCGGAGGAATGCAGTGCGTGGCCAAGACCGGCCGTCGTCACGATCGCGCGCGTGCGACGCATCGTCCATATCGATCGCCGGCCTCTTCGCGAGTCGGTCGCAATCGCAATCACAATCGCACGAGCTCGAGCGTCGAGCATCGAATGTTGGAGCTTAAAATCTCGGGCGAGGCGACCGTAGGCAGCAACAGACGTCGCAGGTCTCGTCGCTCCGAGCGCTCATTGATGCGCCGCGTGCCAGATATGGAAATTCCCGTCTCCTCGAGCTCAAGTCGTAACTTTCCATGTTACCATACCTCGCCATTAAGCTTCAGAAAACCATTGAACTCTACGAGACGGCCTTAAAGGAAAGTGGAGTCAACCGGGTACATCGGAAATGAGGGTATGTTTAATAGTACGTCTCTCTTTCTTGCATCATTGATGTCTATCAAGTGGGCACCATTCATATACGGCTGGCGGGATCAAGTCCCATTACCTCGCAGCGAAGGATGGGCAGAAACCTGGGGACTAGTACGACCAAAGTGCCGACGGATCCAAATTGCGTCCCAGAAGGAAGAGACCGGTGCTAGTCTACTTTAGGGTGTGGCGGCAGGAGCGCGATTCTGTGCGTCGGCCTCGGAAGGCGGCCTCGGCGATGCGAGTATGGGGGGTGGGCGGAGGATGACGGAGTGGGACAGAGTAAGCCAGATTGCTCGCTACCTGGAAAGGAAGCTGTGGCAGCCGGCAGGGACGGGAGGCATATGGGTTCCCTACGTCATCCCCGCAATTCTTGCACTTTAGGTGTGGAGGCGATCACTACGAGGTCACGATGGGTTACAGCGCCACTGGCGAGACGATCTAACGTATGCATCCGTAGGGTCAGCGTACGCGGTGCGGGGAATGCGGGGTTTGGAGACGATGCCTGTGCCATCACACTGTGCAGGTCGTCAGGCGGGATGCTGCCGCCATGATCGCATCCTGCGTGGCAGTCGGTCGGTGCCCAATGCCCATGGCTGGAGCGGGCCATCGCGCACGAAGTTGTAATTCCTTATAATGCGTCCCTCAACCACATTTTCTCAGGCTGCATTGTTCAAACTCATTGCAGACGTCAGGTAAGAGCAGATTCCGTTCCAAAACAGCACTGCTCATTCTTTCTATGCCCTTCAGACGACCATCGGTCTTTCTCGAGCCCTAACGGTCGACTGTACAGGCCGATAGATGTTCAGGATACGCGAGTCCGATCCATCTCACTAGTATGCAGCGTAACAAAGGGATAGCAAGTCGATTTCTTTCTATAGGTCAAGCACTCGAGAGAATGGGTATCCCCTCGAACCCATTGTGCAAATCCTATGGAGGTGGTGTTGTACTAACGCACGCCCGGTGCGGAGTTGAGGGAGAACAGGGTATTTATATGAAATGCATCGCCGGGAGACTCGCGTTGATGCCCTGCAGATATGTCGCTCCCCTCTCGTCCTAACTCTTCATCTCTCACCGTAATCGCCAACATCAATCGCCCCCTTGAACCTGCCTCTAAATCTTTCGGTGCAGTCCGTGCTAAGGACGAGATTCTTCAGGTCGAAGATGCTCCTGCTAA